TATTAGGATATTTTTATGTTTTGTGTAGTATTTACTTCAAGACATATATTTGATCAAGTTTATTTATATTTAAGAAGTAACACTTATAAAATATTTTTAAAATCTTCAAATATTTCTAAAACGTACCGGGCCAAATACAATTTATTTTTGTGCCAAATACAAATATCACACTTATAAAATATTTCTAAATACTTCAAATATTTCTAAAATATATCGGGCCAAATAGAAAATATTTTTTTTCTAGATATAAACATTTCTAAGATCTACAGATATAATAGGCCAGGGTCACGCATTGCGCGACCAGACATCACTAGTATGTATAGAGAGCGGTAGAGTCCCGTTATGGGACGGTTCCGTTTTAGAATAACAACCGTAGGATTAATTAGGCTAATTAACAACCGTAGGATTAAAATGAGGGTGCATCATGAGTAAATATATCTAAACACGCCTGATTAAACTGAAAAATTAAAGAAAATGATTAATTTGCCTAAAGTTTCAAGTGTCTTGCCAATTCGTCCCAAAAGATTTTTGGGAAGCCAAATTCATCATCTAATTTTTAATTTCTGGCCTATTTCATCCAATTGAAAAAAATTTCTTTAGATTTAACATCTCCGCTGACATTCTGTCACGGATAAAATGACGGTTTTACCCAAAGTTTTGATCGTTTCGTTAATTTTACCCATTGATTTTTTTAGTTAGCCAATTTTGTCCTTTATATTTGAAATTGTTTGTCAATTTCATCTAATTGGTCCAATTTCTGTTAAACTTGATGGATTTCAGTTAATTTTTAACAAAAATATCCCTAAAGTATCAAAAAATTATAAAAATAACTCCCAAAATATGTAAAATCAACAAAATAATCTCGTTTCATTATTTATTTATTTTTTCTAATTCATTTTATTTCTCTTTACTACTTTTATAACCATCAAAATAAAATTATAAGATCTTTAAAATAATGATTATTTATTTTCAAACTCTATTTTTCATGTACAAACATGTGAGTTGGGTTTAGGAGTAGTTTTATCATATTTTTAAAAATTTTAAATTTTAATTTTTTTTATTTTTTGTTATTTACGATTCTTTTTCTTGTACTTCCTGACTACTAGTATACTAAATTTCATTAATTAATTTACCTTTTATTTTATAGATTATAAAAAAAAGTTTAAAAATAAAGAAAATGAGGAAGAAAAAATCCAGTTGAAATAAGTATGAAAATTAATAGTTAATCATTCTAAACAAAAATAACAAAATCTAAAAAAAAAAAAGTTCTTAAACAAGTCTTTCCTCCTAGACTTCTAGTGATTCATAGGCAAGTTACGAAATATAAATTTTACTCGATCTGGCCTAAAATGATTATTTTGTTTGTGATAATAAAAATAATTTAAAAATTAGACAATCTTTTAAAATAGGAAAAAGTGCTAATTTATTTAGTCCACGACGATGAATTGTTGTAAATTTGGTTAACACAATTTTTATCCCTTTTTAGTAACTTTTATTGTTACGTTGCCGATGGCTAAACTATATAAGCAATCATTGAATTTCATGACCAAGATAAATTCGTATATTTTTAACAGTGTATTTTTTAATTTTTTTTAAACCTCAAAATTGAAATACAAAAGTTCAATTTTTTCTTGAAATATAGTAATTATATTAGTGTCAATATATACAAGTCAGAGAGTACAAGAAGAAAATTGTTAAAAAGAATAAATTAAAACAAATTAAAAATTTTCAAAAATTAGACACCACATGTAATGTATGATGCAATTTATTTTAAGTGATTATAAAAAATTTAATGCATTAAAAATTACTATACTCAACAAAATGACTTAGAAAATTTCGTCATTAACCCCGAAGATTCTATTAATTTTGAGAGATTTTGTTATCCAACATCAATTTTGTTTGTTCATGATCTTCATTATTTTGTTATTTTCTTAAAAAAAAAAGTACAATAAAAATGGGTATCTATCATCACCTCTAGCTGCCAACACCACTATCATCACATTTGGCCGTCTTAACGGTCCTGTAGATGCATTAATTTTCCTTCTTCTGCATAGTACATCGATTTAAATGATAGTTCTTGAATTTAAAGTGAGTAATTAACTGAGTTTAATGAAAGAAAAATGTCTTTAATAAGTGAAATAACATTACCCTCTAAATCAACACTCACGAAATGTAAAAGGATATTTTCTGGGTAAAGAATTTTGAAGAATGGAACGGTAAAAAGAAATTTCAATAACAACTTGCTAAAAAAGATAAGTGTATCGCCGCAATGATTTCTTTTTCGGATGCCATGGAGAAGAAGTGGACAAGGGACAAATGGTGCAGGTAGAGGGAGACCCATTACTTTTTTAAGAATGAAGAAGGAAAAAAATTGAAAAAATACGTAAAGTATTTTGTAACTTTTGTGGAATTGAAGAAGAGTGGTGGCGGCAGAAATGCGTGTAGTGATGGAGGGAGAATTGTGTACTGTTGGTGAAGGTAAATTTTTATGCTTGTGGTGATGGTTTAGAATTCTCACAGATTTAGGAAGTGGTGATGGTAATTTTTAAGGGAGAAGAGGAATGGAGCGGTGGTGGTGCGATGGTGGAAAACAAGTAGAGGAAGGCGGAGGAAGAAAAGGAAGAGGCTTAGGGTGGGAGAACAAAAAAAAAAAAAAAGGCTTCAGGTGGGAGTAATGGATTAGATTAGAAGATAAATTTTATAATAGGGACGTTATAATAATTAAATGTTAAGATAAGCGTATGTTACTGAATAACAAAACATTAAGAATAAAATGTTAAAATTTAATGTCAACAAAATTTTTTACCAATAAAAAACTAAAGTAACGGAATGTTAGTGAAAATGTTAAATCTAACAAAATTCTCATTAACTGAATTAAATTGGCAAATAATTGAAATTTATATGATGAATTTGGTTTCCCTAAAATCTTTTGGGTCAAATTGGCTAGACACTTGAAGATTTGGAAAAAAAATTGACCATTTTCTTAATTAGTTTTGGAAATTATAGAATGTTATTAACCACATGATTACATCTTATACCCTCAATTTTGATTGGTTGAAGACAAAACGGGACGGTTCCGTAAAAATGACCAACGGGACTCTAGATTTTCCCATATATATATATATATATATATATATAGCCATCGGATGATTAAAATTAATAACAACCGTTAAATTAAAATGAGGTGTATTAAAACTAGAAAAAACTACATCACACCTAATTGTGGCTATTAACATATTGTGAATCTTGTTGCATTAGCTATGGCTAAAAAAAATTGGTTCACGAACATCACAATTTTTATTCCGCATCAAGCCATTTTCAAGGTTTTTTCTTTTTTTTTTTTCCCCTTATCTAAGGAAAATTATTAACATTTCTCCCTCCAGAAAATGGTTCCACGTTGAGATAAAATTCGAACGTCCAAACGGAGGCTAGGGCGATGAATCAAGCAATAAGTACGAGACAATCGGCGGCCTGCGTGATTTTTTTCTCTGCAATCTTGGACATAAACTTAGCGTTAGCAACCACCGACTACTTTTCCAGTAACACAGCATCACAATTACCCCACTGAGTGACATGAATCAAGGGAAACTTGTCCTTAGTGGTCTTATCCTTGGATTCATGGGGGGACCAATTAAGATCATAGTTTCTCTATGTTCACGATAGTGCAATGGTAGTCATGGCGGAACCATGTGAAATTTTTTGTGGTTGTGTGACAGTTTTTTGGGAGGAAGCGGTCAAGGTGAATAGTAATCTTCGAGTTTATTTAATCCAAAATATTGAGCTCTGAATTAGAATTTGGAAGCCACTGCTGTTTGAATTTTTTATTTTTGCGTAATTCATTTGTTGTACAAGCTTTAACGGGGAGAAGAGAAAAAAGAAATGATGTGCTCCAGAGGATAGATGAATTGGAGATTAGAGAATAGTATTTTTCAGAAAAAATGGCCCCCAAAGCCTAATTAAAAAAAATTAAAAACCAGGAAAAAAATGTTTAATTATATGAAGAGCGAGCAATAAATCAAGACAAGAGCATAAACTTTTCATGACCTTAGCGGAAGATGAGGACTGTATTCTAGATGCTACAGACCAACCGTTTCCGACGAAAGGCCATGAGAGGACTTTAACATTCCTCAAATACATCAGAGATGGGATCTTCTTTTCTCCTCTGCTAAGGATCACAAGCTTACTGTTTGGTTTGCCAATGATTATTACAACAATTATGGCCCTCCTGTTCATAGTGATGATGATCATTTTTCGTGGAATTTTGCTTGGCTTTGGCCTTTGGGGTTGTGGCTAATCCAGTGTAGTTTTTAGCTAATGTAAAAAATGTCCATTTTATGGTTATCGTGTTTAACTATTATTGTTAAGAAACTAATATATTAAGTTTTGTTTTGGTGTAGCACGCTCCATAATCGCTAATGGTGCATCCCATTTTGATTGGACAGATTTTAACTAAATGGTTCAATCAAAATCTTATGACTGGACTATAAAATTTCTCATACATATATATATATATTATTATCCTCAGAAAACTCCTTAAGGTTTAGTCTAAAGTCTAAAATTTGTTTGACCACTTCAAGAGTCGTAGGCCCGTTACATTTTGCTTTCACGGTTTAGTGTTGGGTTCTCCTATGTAAACATAGGTCCCCACAATTTTATAGATTAATAAATATCTAAAATAATAAATTCGATTTGAAGATTAAATGGAATTTTGACTTAAATATTTTTGTTTATGTTTGTAATTACTCCCTCTGTCCCAAAACTATTATCCAGTTTGAAATTTCACTTTTAGTATAATTTGAACTAGAAATGAAAATCCAAACTGGACAATAATTATGGGACGGTGGGAGTATCATTTTTTTAATTTTTTTCGATAAATTAATAACTCTATAAATTAATAAATATTAAGAGACCGATATATTAATTTAGGGAGATTTTAGTTTCTTTTTTCAATGGTATAAGACTTCTCAAGAAACAAATGCGGTCTAGGAAGGATTTAATTGCGAAAATTTGCAAATACTAGTATTACTTTCTTCTGTATATATCTCTTTAATAGCGGACTAAGTTATCATCGTTTTATTACTATATAAATTCTAGTTGATTTTTTGGTCTTATGAAACCCTAATCACGTTTTGATCCTGATATTACCGAATCTTCATCGTCTGGACTGAAAATCTGTCGAATGCCTTGTTTCTACAATGGTTCATGCCAGTGCAGAGACCGATTTCCAGATAAAACATCTGAAAAAATCCCAACTTTCGGAGCTCAGCTCTGAACTCAGAGATGATTTCATCAGCAATTTGCCAGACACAGTTCTGTGTCACATTTTGTCATTTCTGCCCACGAAATTTGCAGTGGGAACCTCCATTCTCTCATCCAAGTGGAAAAACCTGTTTCCCTTGATCCCAAATCTTAATTTGGAATTCGATGATTCCTTAATTTTGCATCATCCCAATGGAGGAGAAGAAGAACCCAGTACTTCAAAAGATGCAGATACGGCGGATAAATCAGGGGAAGAGCTTAAAAGTAGTTTTACTGATTTTGTTGGTGGGGTTTTGAAGAGCTTGCTTCAAAATAACGCTAGTATTTGCAAATTCAAACTCGAATGTCAGAAAAAGTACACAGATGATTGCATCGGTTCGTGGCTTCGCGTTGCTGTCATGCTTGGTGTCCAAAGTGTTTGTCTAAAAGCCTCAATCCGAGATTCTTGTAAGTTAGTTGCTAGTCTTAATGGATGCACTAGCTTATTGGCGTTGCATTTGGATAGTATTTTTTCCCTCAAGGTTTCCGCTGTCAACTTTCCCAATTTGAAGAAATTGATCCTTGATTATGTTCAGTTTTCTGACGGTGAATCTGTAGAATTGCTCTTCAATGGATGCCCTGTACTCAATACCTTGAAGCTCCAGTTTTGTGTCCTCCTTGTGGATGACTTTGCTATCTGTATGCCGTCACTGACTCGTTTGGTTATTTGCGGTTCTTTAATTAGAAGTATCTTTTCCACCGTGGTCATTGATACCCCAAAGCTCAATCACTTCTCCTATGTTGGCTTACTTACTGAATGTTACTTGTTGAGAAATGTTGATTCTATTTATGCTTTAGCAGTACATATTCTACCCATCAACACACTCTTGGAGGACCATGATGAAGAATTGGAGGTTTCCAGCTATGAATACGTGAAGTTAGCTGAGGTAATTAGTCCATGCTCTGGGGTCGAGACTTTAAATTTAGGAGAGCTTACTATTGAGTTAAGCTCCCTGCTTTTATTCCTGTTCTAGTTATTGCATTTTATTGACCAACTTTTCCTTGGCATCGCATTTTTGGCTTGATCGTTTGAACTAAGCATGATGATTTTCCCTCTCCCTTTGTGATTTGCCTACAGGCTCTTCGTGACCTGTCAGTTCCATTACCTAAATTTTACAACTTGAAGACCTTGGTACTTGGAGCTATGGGGATGACTGGATGGAAAACATTGGCATGCTTCCTTGACAATGCTCCTATTCTTGAAGCTCTATTCCTGTTTGGGGTATGTTGAATATGGTGCATATTTGAATATTTGATAACGTCCGTTCAAAACAACTGTGTTTTTGCTTGTGTTCTTTTGTATGATATTGATGGAATCCGCTTTTAGTTTTAGTTTTGTTTTTTTTAAAAAAAAAAATTTTAAATAATGTTAACCTGGATATATATTTGCTTCACAATCAGGGTTTTAATATGTATGATGGGGGCTTTGCCAGTTTCTTATCAGTACTGAATTACGTGCCGTATTGTTTAGCCTCAAGCATGAAGAAGATTGAGATTGGAGCATTTAGTGGCCAAGAGGATGAAATTATGCTGCTCGAATATTTCTTACAAAATGGAAAAGTCCTGGAGAAGTTGGTATTTAACTGTGACTTTGACTGGCGCAAGAATAATGCAGTCTTTAACAGACTGCTGGATGCTGAATCCGGATCAGAGACTTGCAAGATATCTGGACCCGAAAAAGGTCGCATGGTAATATAGTTCATCTGCTAATGCCAGTCATTTCTTGCTATGGACTCTGCAGGTTTCTTTGTATTGTCTGGAAAAGTTTTATGGAGTTTCGACCTCTCGGGAATGAGTATATATTTGGATGATCTGGCTGTATCCCTTGGCCAGGTTTACTGTTTGACCTTTGGTGATACACTTGTATAAGTTGATGAAGGATGAAGCAAGACAGCAGCAAATGTTTATCTGATAATTTCTGGTTGCAGAATATTGCCTTCTTGTTTTATTATGGTTTCTTTTTATTATGTTTACACCATTTTGGCTCTTCGATACAGCTTTTGTTAATTAACCATGGATGAACCCAGCCCTTTTGTTTTCTTCCTCATTTGTAGTACTACTTGTTTTATGCATCTAACGCTGCATTTATTTTTATTTATTTATTTTTTTTTTGACGATGGAAATCTCCGAAGGCCATTAATTACTATCCATCGGCAAAAGGTCATCGTTATCCAAGTGATTTAATTTAAATCCATTGAGATGGCGCCCTCGCAGAGTGAAGAGATTATGGTAAAGTTAAGCCTTGAAGAAGATTATTAATGAGGTAATGATCCATCGAAATTTGCCACTCACTCTGTTCCAAAATTATTATCCAGATTGAGTTTTCGGTTTTAGCCTTTTAGTTCAATTTTGATTTCTAAATAAATAGATTTATAGTTGTAAAGACTAAAGATAGAAAATCATTGGCATTATCAATCTTTTATGACCATAACAGAATTTTGATAACAAAGCGCTCAAATGATTCATAAAATGACTTGATTTACAATCTTTCACACGCCTAAATTGAATGAAAGATCTTTCTTCCTGGAATACATTGAATTTCTTTCAACAAAGATTGCTATGAAGTATGAACGACATCGAAAGCCCAACCATTTTCACCGGTTGACTTCTTTTTTTTTTCTTTTTTCTTTTTTGACTGGTCAAGGGGATTCTAAAATGTGTCTCGACAAGTCAGGAATGTTTTCGATAATCGTGTTGAACTTTGAGAATTTTGATATTATTATCCATTAAAAAAAAACACTGAAAAAGAAACCACATCCTCCTGCTCTGGTGGCGGGAGTGGGGTGATTTGGGACGCCAAAATGTTTTACTATCATTTTCTAATTTGGCGGGATTTTGTTCTTCATTTTCCCGCTATAATGGGGTAACATAATTCCATAATCATTTACATTTCCAGACTCTCCTTAGTCTAACACCCTACAAAACAAAGAGCCTCAGAGCCTCAAGTTCTTCCCTTTTGTTTGTTTTTCCCCGTCAGATTACAAATCCCAGATGGATGAATCTGCAGAAGAGAATGAATTATTCAAAAAAAACCCCAAACTTTCTGAAAACAACCCTGAATCCAAAGATGATCGGATCAGCAGTTTGCCAGACGAACTCCTTTGTCACATTTTGAATGTTCCTAAGCATGCTTTTATAGCATGGCTTGTGTGGAAGAAAAGATGACTTGCTAAAAATAGGCTCAGTCATATGAATATTCTGGTAAGTGCTCCAACCTGTTTGTTATGCAAACAAAAAGCAGAAAACTAATGAACATTTGTTTTTCCATTGCTTGTATGCACAACAGTTGCTGGAAGGAGTTAGGAGTTGGCTTGGTTGTAGGAAGATAGCTGAAGATGAAGTTAGGTGGAGAAGACAGTTGCATACTATGTGGAAGGGGGGCTTGCTAAAAAGGAGAGTTTTTAATGCTGCTATTATTGCTTGTATATACCATTTGTGGGAGCAGAGAAACAAGAGGCATTTTGATGGTGAGAAAGGAAATCTGATGAGCTAGTAAAGCTGATCCAGTCTGATTTAAAATACAGACTTTATAATTGGAAGAGCAGGAAAAGAAATGACACTGAGGACAGGATTCTGCAATCCCTTTTTCCTTAGTTTTGTTTTCTGCTTTTGTACAGAAGTACTAGAATTTGATAACTCTGCCATCTGTTATTTAGATACCAATGTATAGAGGATGATGTAGTGTTACAGGGTAAAGAAGTGGATGCTGTAATAGCTGAGTTTTTGATGTACTTCTTTGGTGAATTTCTTATCAATATATTTACTTTCTAACAAAGTTTTTCTTCTCAAGGGAAATGACCATCATACTCCCATCAACTAAATAATATTGATCCCAACCGTGCAACTCAGATAACAATACAGTAGAATGTCGGTAAATTAATAATCGATAAATTAATAATTTTTAACAATTAATAATTTTTTCTGATCCTTACTTGTGACTAGTACAAAAAGTGAAGAAAATCGATAAAATGATAAGATAATAATACTTCAAAAAATATCCTATATATGTATAAGTCACAACAAGACCATAAATTAATATATACCCTAAAAACAAAATAAGAATAATAATAACCACAAATATTTAGTACAATATAAACTATTGATACTTATTTTTTAGTCACTGGAGATTATATGAACTATATATGGATATCAAGTATTCAGAAGATTTTTTAATGCTTGATTAATTAGAATGTAAACACAATTGCAAATTATGTAATATTCTAGTGACGGTTCTTGTTTTTTATAGAAATTATTTAAAATTAATAATTTATTAATTTATCGATTATTTAATAATTCTTTAAAATAACAAATTTTGTTGGTCTCAACACTATTAATTTATAGAAGTTTGATAGAGTCCATAAATTGTGTTTTAATTGTTGATATTTTATTAGTTTATGGACTTGGATATATTTAATTCATTAGTTTTGTTATTATTTCATGTTAGGAGCTAGAAATAAGAGATTGGAGCTGATTTGGGCTAATTTGGACGTCTAGGAACCTTTTTGCAAAATTGAAGAAGTTCTTAGGTAAAAGTAAAAATAAATAAAAATTAGAGGACCAGTACTGCAATTTTCGCCCAACTTCTTGTTTTATGCGGCTGACCTAATTTCTTAAAGAGGCAGCCGTGGGTTTTGTTTGACCGTGCCTTTTCTTCTTGGTTTTGGCCACGGTTTTGAGCAGCCGTACGTGAGGCAAGGCTAGTACTCAAACCCTTTATTTTTTTCAATTTTTTTTGAATTTTCATGGAGAATAAAGCCGTCATGCTTCCGTCTATGAGTGGCTAAGGATTTTCTTTCTAATTCAAGGGATTTATTCAGTTATTTCATTATGAGATTTTATTCTTAATTATTGTTCTTGCTTATGATTTAAGTATTTATTGATTCTTGTCTTTATTTATGAAAGTAAATATCATTCAAATTGACAACTTGATTTGTTATTTATTTTCTAGTGCTATCTGCTAGTTGAATGTTACGTAATAGACACGAATTGGCACGAATCGGTAGTACTGAGTAGCAATTAAACATAGCATGTGTATTGGCGAGACAGTAAATATGCATGTTAGTTTAAATGTGGAATTAATGAGACAAAGTCTAAATAGTTGTAACTATCTCAATTGTTTAGATTTTGGTTTAACTATATTTTTTTGGTTTTTATGCTGTCATTGTTTGGCATGGAACGCTATCGTGCTCAACCTGATTATGATAAGGACTGATTGAGTGCTAGGCTTGGTTAGTTAATTCAGGAAATTATTAGATTTATTACGGCTATCCTAATAGATCTTTGGTTGAATGCTTAGATTGCTTGAATAGTTTAGCAACCATGATTAATGAAATAATTGAGTTATCCATCCCTTTGAGTCAGAAGTTTGTTAATTTGATTTCTTTTCTTTTATTTACTTTTTGTTATTTGAATTTTATTTTTGTAATTTAGAAAAACAATCTAAAAATTCCATTTACATTAATTTATAGGAAACAATCCATCGTTCTCTGAGGAGACGACCTTACTTCCCTATATCACAGTAGTTTGAAATAAGTTATTTTGTTTGTGTGGATTTGACACTCCACCAAAGTTTTACTGTATTCTCTAGATTTTTTTTTGCTTAATCGACGGGCCAATAATGTAATTAGAAGAAATGAAACATCAACGTTTTTTTTTTTTTCTTTTGAGCCTAAACATAAACGGTTTTAGTACCAATAAAAAGAAATTTATTAAAGTCAGTAAAATCATACTACCATTTCTTTTTCCGAGAGGAAATTATATACAACCAAAATTATAAGGGCGTGATAAGAAATGGCACATCACAATATCACATCATAATATCTTTGATTATTTAATCTTTTATTTGGCGGGTTTTTCCTTCTTCATTTCCCGCTAAAATTGGGATAATAGAATTACTGACTCGCAGTTTATATGTTTCTCCGTATCTTTCAGAAGCCTTGATTTTTTTTCCTCCTGAAACTTTTGAAATCCCTGCCCAGATGGATAAACACCATGAACTACTGAAAGGTTCCGAACTTTATGATCTAAAGCCAGGATACAAAGACGATTTGATCAGCAATTTACCAGATACAATTCTCTGCCACATTTTGTCATTTCTGCCAACAAAATATGCTGTGGGCACCTCCATCCTGTCATCCAAGTGGAAGAATCTGTTTGCCTTGATCCCAAATCTTAATCTGGAATTTGATGATTCCTTAGTTTCCCACCATCCCAATGGAGAACCTAATCCTTTTGTAGAAGAAGATGTGGCGGATGAAGATAGCTTTACAGATTTTGTTGGTGGGGTTTTGAAGAGGTTGCTGCTAAATGGGGCTAGTATACATGACTTCCAACTCATATGTCACAAAAAGTATGAAGATGATTGCATCGCTTCTTGGGTTCGCTCTGCTGTAATGCTTAGCGTCCAAACTGTTTGTCTTAAAGCCTCAATGGGAGATTCTAGTAAGTTATTTGCCAGTCTTAATGGATGCACTAGCTTGTCAGAGTTATATTTGGGTAGAGACTTCATTCTCAATGTTCCTGTTGTCAAGTTCCCCAATTTGAAGCTGTTACTCCTTGACCATGTTGAGATTGCTGATGATAAATCTGTGGAATTGCTGTTTGATGGATGCCCTGTACTCGATACATTAGTGATAAATCGTTGTGACATCTTTGTGGACATCTTTTGTATTTGTCTGCCTTCGCTGAGTAGTTTGACTCTCTGCGGTTGTTTCATAAAAAGTGGTTGCACTATGGTGATTGACACGCCGAAGCTTAATTCCTTGAACTACATTTGCATACTGGCTGATAGTTACTCACTGATGAGCAACTTTGATGGTATTAGTGAGTTGGCATTACATATCTTACCCATCAGCAAACTTTTAGAAGGCAATGATGAAGAATTGGAGGATCCCATCTATGATTACACAAGGTTGTCTAAGCTAATTAATTCATGCTCCGGAGTTGAGACTTTGAATTTAGGAGAGTTTACTATCGATGTAAGCTTCTTGAGCTGTTAGCCCTGTTCTCGTTCTTTCATTTTTTATCAAGTTCAACGTTTTAGTATCACATATTGCTGGCTTCTGTTCTGTTTGAACTTACTATGAGATTCCCTTTTGATTTGCTTACAGGCTCTTCATTATCTGTCAATTCCACTACCTAAATTTTTTAACTTAAAGATCTTGAAACTTGGAGCTATGGGGATGGCTGGATGGAAAATATTGGGAAGCTTCCTTGATAACGCTCCAAATCTTGAAACATTAGCTCTTTTTGAGGTCTGTACAATGTGATTCATATATTGATATCTTCTATGCAAACAAAGCGATTTAGCTAGTGATGTGATGGTGAAGGGATTACATGTCCTCAGTTATGTTTTCTTTTTAGTCTTTTTCTATTTTTTTGGTTTAATGAGAACCTGAATTTTCCTTCCTCAATTAGGGCTTTAACGTGTATGACGGAGGCTTTGCAAGTTTCTTATCATCACTCAATGCTGTGCCGTATTGTTTATCCTCAAGCATAAAGAAGATTGAGATTGGGGAATTTAAATGCCAGGAGGATGAAGTTAAGCTGATCGAATATTTCTTACAGAAGGGAGAAGTTCTACAGAAGTTGCTTTTCCACTGTGACTTAGACTGGGAAAAGGATTTTGATGTCCTTAAGAGAATCGCAGTGGCGGAATCCAGATCCAAGACTTGCGAGGTTTTCCACCTCAGAAAAGCCTAGATGGTACATTTCTCTGATACTAATGCTAGGTACTACTTCGACTAAATCAGGAACTGAACGTAGATGCAATATGGAAACCGCAGGTTTGTTTTTTGTGTTTGGTACTCTTGTCTGTAAAAGTTATTTTGGGGGAATTTTGAGCTTTTGGTAAAACACCTGCTTAAGTGAATGGTTGAGAAAGAAGAGGAGCGAATGTTATATTGGGTTATCACTGGTTGAAGATTGTTTGCCTTCCTGCTTAATTATGGCTCAGACCTGGAATTTCTCAGTCTTTTGTTTCTATAATTATCTATAGCGTCCCATAACTGAAATCATTGGGATATGTATTATGTTTTTGTCTTAATGTTGCATTTCCAATTTAAAACAATTAATCTATAAGTTGGACATATTTTAAAAAAGAAAATCAAATCAAAGAGGACGATGCTCTTTTGACGTCCCGTGCTCCTTGGGCATGGATGTATTGTTACCGGTGCCTTCACAACCATTTGAACTCCTTCGGCCATCGGTGATTCCATCATTAGCACTGACAATGGATATCCCCTAAGGCCATCATCTCCCAAGTACGAAATACTGTCAAATGTATCAAATTAACGGCCTTGCAGAATGCTAAGATTTAAGGCTGAAAGATATGTCAATTCCGTTAGGGTTTGAGGAATCTCCTCCCATAATGATCTTAGAGAAGCCAGTTTTAGGAAAGGTTGTGGGGTTTTGGCCTTCAAATTTATTATGGGAAAGGTTCGAGCCTTGAAGAAGATTTCCAATGACTTTGGGAAATGACCCCTTGAAATTTTTGGCTAGAGGATCTATGGTTGAGAAGATGGAAAGAACATTCACTAACATCAATCTATAGTCATTTTGTCATCACCATAGCAGAATCTTGACGGTAAACTAATAAAATAAATCATCAAATACTGATGATTTACTAAGGACCTGATTAGGATCTTCATAGCTTTAAGTTGAATGGAAAATTCTTTCTGGTGGCAGGATGCTGTGTTATTCTGTTTATTAGCAAGGAGGAAGCAATGAAGCATTACTTTTGCTCATCACCGCCACATGATCCCCAGCAACTCTGGAAAATATAAGGGCATCTTCATCTGGGAAAAGAAGTGGTACTCCACATTTTCAACAAGCAGCAATTAAGTATGTCAAAACAACTCACCATTGTTGAACAAATGAAGATTTGAAACTAATAAAGGAGAAGATGGATCATATTGCTAACTTTCTGCCACACGTTAAGGTAAATACAGAATAAGATATGCGTGCAATGAAACTAGATCCTGTTCAGGCTTGGAGTCCTGATTTGACAACTATACAACTAAGTAGCATCCGCATCCCTTTGAATAGCGTAGCAGCAAGCAGCAAATGTAGGTACTAAGAAATGCAATTCAGATATGATGACAAAATTCCAAAGCAGGATCAAGAAGAAACAGGAAAGCATTCACCTGTGTATTGTAGCAAGATAGTGATTTGATATAACACACAGATAGAAAGAGAGGAAACATCTTTAGAAAAGCTACATTCACAGGACCAGCCTACAATTCTGAGAACTGCATTTGAATAAACGGATCTAAACATATACGTGCAAAAAGTCTTGCAAACTATATACCATACATCAGACATCTGAACATAATATGATCAACTTCTTTCTGTTCTGTAATATATTACCTGTGACGCTCGGATGCTATTGCACGGTAACCAAAATTTACACTTAAGTAGACCGAGTAAAATGTAGGCATGCACACGAACAAACAGCAATTATCACCAGTAAGGTTTCAGATAAGCAAAAGATCCAATTATCAACAGGAAGGTTTCAGATTAGGAAAAGATCTAATTATAAAATTGTTCCCTGCTTCAGGTGCAATCTCTACAGCATTTATGATAATCTGCTATACATAGTACCGGTGATCATGCTTAAAGTTTTTCTTCGTCAAAATTAAATATGTTAGATATAATTGTAGATTAAAGTGTCCAAGTCTTGAGTTCTCAATTTCTCATCATCATCTTTCAGTTTGTAACAATTACAGAATGACGCAAACCCAACTTCAATAGCTTCCTTGCATCTGAAAATTAAGCACACCGGTCAACCATTTCATATAATCACCCAATATGTTCAGTGTTAATCGTCAGCTACAGAAGATTTCAATAAAAGATACTATAGAAGATTTCTAAGTTCGAAAAGCCATGGGATTCTAAATCTAGAAATATATCATCCTATGTCATCCATTCATAAAGATGCTACTTAGCTACTAAGATTAACCTCCCAATATAAGAGCTCAATCCCCAGTCACCACAGCCTTTGATACAACACGCAAAAAGCTCATCAAATTATCAGATCAACAAAAATCTACATAGAAGTCAAGACTGTCTACCAATTCACTTTTCTCAACAGCTACTACCTCTGGCTGTCTCTCAAATGGTTCACTAATAGCAATATTCTAGTCTTTGTGGCTAAAGTTAAGGCACTCTAGCCACTGCTGCATTACTTAAATATACAAACACCACTTCATAAACCTCAACACGTGAATATATATCTCCCTGCCTGAGATCATTCAAGGCTACTACTTGATAAGAGCTGTTAAGCATGTTCATGAATTCGACACATACAACCAAGCTCAAATGAACTGCTTCTTATGTATCAAACATGGCTGAGAATCAGCTATTTCTCATCAGACAAACTATGACTGTAAGTACTTTGTAATAGTGTCTAAGTTCTAAAATAAAAATGATGACCTCCCACGTGCAATAAGAGAACTAATACTCCCTCCGTACTGTAAAATAGCCACCTTAAAAAATTTTCACACCTTTCTCGCTGTCTTTATGTAATAAAGACTGTAATTGGTACCAGGATTGGCTTAGTTAGTTTTTGGTCAGCTATGATGAACGGGAAAAACACTAGATACTACACTTGATCTTAGCCAAAAGGCTGAAAAAGGTAAAATCAAAGCAACAAAAAAGCCAAACAATTGCAACTTATCCAAAACTGCTCAAAGACACGTATAATGCAAAAGAAGAGTGTTGAACAGCACTCATCCAAATGCCTTCTAATTACACGGAACAAACAACAAATAATTGCAACTTACACAAAACTGCTCACAGCCAAAGTCTAATTCAAAAAAAGAGTATTAAACAGAGTTCCACAAGCCTTTCTAATGATACACTAGTCGGTTCATTGTGTTATGAAGCCAGTGAAGCCAAAAACATGCATAAACTTCCCCATAGAAGGACCAAAGCAAATGAGCAAAGTGCAGTTTACAATAAGATAGGACTACCAAAAGATATGACTACAGAAGAAATTTTAACCATCCTAACACACACCAACAAGGTTTTTCGTGTTTTCACATATACATTTGATTTCCTTACGGAAAATCCAAAAGCAAGGAGAATCAATAACCTCTCTTGCTAAATCATGTAGTTCAAGCGTCCAAGTTCTCCATCTGAATGCTGCTTTTAAGAGGCACATACTCACCAAGATAGCCACCAAGATGATCGTACAAGGCACCCTTATCAATTCCTTGATGATGAAAGCTCTTGCACACATAGTAAAACACACTTTGAACCAATAGCCCAACAAGATTCACAATCACCAGTACCCCGACCAAGAATCCACCAACCAGGATTCTTGATAGCACACCGTAATCCCCTCCATGAACCACAATTGTAGAGAAAAGGCCACTAATCACCCCGCAAATCGCCAAATACCCAAAAACAAGCCCAAAAGCCATCTGGGTTCGACCCTTAAGCAGCTCATAACTCTTCTTCATAGCTGCAAGGCCATAAACCGGCTCAAGCACCGACACCACACTAGCCAAATGCCACAAAGCGCTAATATAAACATGAACCACAAGAAACAGCACAAACACCACCACCACAGAAAACAGAAACAAAATCACATTCTGGGTATCCACAGCTATAATCAGAAGCATGAGAAAAACAATAAATACGATGTTATAAATCACCATAGTGAGCGAAACCCATAAGAACGTAATGAAAAGCCTCTTGAAAACAGACGGGATTGCCGACATCGTGGCGGAAAAAGACACGGGCTTGGAGGTATAAAGCGAGGCGACAGTGAAGACGACAGCAGCAGTGGAAAGAAGGGAAAAAGCAAAAAGGAAAATAAGGTAGAAGAACTGGAAAGTTAAGAGCTTGGTCCAATCTGAAGTGTGGCCAGTTGGGTCAGCTTGGAGCTGAGCAAGGATTGGGTGAGTGAACAGTGAGTGGGCTAAGATCGCAAAAGAAAGTGGGAAGATTAAGCATAGTGTGATTAGGTAAAAGGTTTTGGGAGATTGTTTTGGGATGGAGACTGATTCTCGAAGAATATTGGGTATGGTTAAGAATTGAAGCTCCTCCAGAGACAGATCCATGGATTCTTCTTGGGATTATTCAGCAACAAACTTGTGGGTTTTGGAACACTTCAAATCGAGGAGGAAAAATGAAGAAAAGGAAGCAGAGTTGAATTGTTTCTCAGTTTTTGGGGGAAAAGATTGAGGAAGAGTAGTGTTTAAGAAAATTGTAAAAAAGGGCCAAGATTCTTCTAGCTCAGATTGCTGTCATCACCGCCAATGGCATCTAACAAGAACTGACTCTTCCATCTGCCTTTCTTCCTTCCTTCCCCAGAAACTCGTCTTCTGCTTTGGGCTATTTTGACCAGAATTTTTATGGTTTTGACTGAAAGTTTAATATTGAAAAACGGGCTGAAATACAACAGAATTGTTTTAAACTTCGAAATACAAAGAGGCCCAAATTACCGCTGAACCTTCTCGAAGATTGGTGAAGACAAGAAGCCCAAAATCCAATGAAGCCCTATTAGACGCCTCAGAAAAATAAATTATTATTATTATTATTATTATTTTTTGGAACGGTGGAAGAACAAAGTTAAAGTAAAGTGTCATGTTTTTTTTTTATTTGCGAAAATGAGAAAAAAAAATTTATATAAAGTGTTTGTCTGTTTGACAAAAAACAAAAAAAAAAAAAGAAAGAAAATTGAAAAGATAAACTTTTTATTTACACCCAATGTAAAAGCCTCAAATATACACTTCGCAAAACTAATGATAGGTTCACATATTGATACGATCATAAATGAAAGAAATGTTGCGCCAAACTTCTTTGTCCTGTAACCAGGTTTTGTAGTCTATATTAGTTTTATAAGTAACACTTTTGTTACAATGTCTATAGTTTTTAGAGGAAAATTTGAATATATTCAAATTTACTTAAATTGAGGGTGGCAAATTGGAGGTACACATGTGTTGGTGTTGGTTCCAATAATTCACTCCAAATCAATCCACTAATTCTAGGTTCAGTATCAAACAAAAATCCAGCTAGAGCTTACTACATTCAATGTCCAATTTTTGGTTTGGGACTCTACTCTACATGAGATTATAAAGATCTCATTTCTCCGAATTCAGTTATAATTAAATGGCCGCTGTTCCAAGGTCAAACATGAAACATCATTAATTCAATTCCTGGTTTTGTAAATTTATCCGAATCGACCGCAAAAGCGTCAGAAATAATGCGATTTGACCATTTCATTTGTCGGCATTCCAAAAAGATTTGATCGGTGCGAGGATTTTATAACATGTAAACCATTTAGTAATTCAACTTCTTCTGAAGGCCGGTGATGCAATATTAGTCTCCATAAGGTAAATGGAAATTAAAAAATTGTGAAGTTTATAATAACGGAGAGAGAAAAAAATGTGGTGAAGTTTAATCATTTTGAGTAGAATTAAGCATCGATATTTAATGTGTCGCCATTGGTGATCCATTTTGAATAAGATGAAGCTGTAATATCGATCCAAACTAGATTACAGTACATAAAAATAAAATGATCTTAATGAACCCAAAGGAAAAAAAGAATACAAAGCTAAACCAAACAATCTGCATTTATGTCATTATTACAATATCGATCACTAGCGGATAGAACATAAACAACAGACATAGAATTAATCTGGCTGACGATCAGCTAAAAAAAACCTTCTTATACCGGACCCGGAGGTGCAAAAGGATTGGGGAAAGGAAATGGCGGTAATGGGATTCCGGGGAATGGGAATCCAGGGAATCCAGGAATTCCGGGAAATCCAGGGATTCCGGGAGCTGAAGGGGTTCCAGGGGTTCCGGGAGGTGAAGGAACTCCAGGTATCCCTGGTATTCCCGGGATCCCTGGAATACCTGGGATTCCTGGAAATCCCGGGATACCGGGGAATCCAGGAATACCGGGAGCTGAAGGCGTGCCACCAGGGGTTGGAGCAGGGAAAGGAATGCTTGGGAATGGAGGCAATGGGAATGGGAATGGAAGCTGAGGGAAAGGTGGCAATGGGATGGGGAATGGCCAGGCCGTAGTACCAGTTCCTCCTAGATCATCATTCTTCTTATTTTCCAAACCCCGAATCGGTCGGGCGTTACAGTATGATGAGGGGGAAGAACTCAAGGCCAAAAGGAAAATCGCTACCAAGGAAATGTAGTTGTTGAAAGACATTTTTCAAAGAGAAATGAGAGACTACAACAAGGTGTGTTGTAATCTTGCTACTATGTCTCAATGGGATATTGTTTATATAGAGAGGTTGTGTTTAATGTGGTCAAATTGGTGTGGACTATGATGGAGTAGGAAGATTATGAAGATCTTTGACTTTTAGGTACATTTGGAAAGTTAATGTGATTGACAAAACGGTTTTTAATGTGGTAAATGTACATATGATTATGAATCCCAAAAATTGTCCGTTTTCATGGAATAATAACATCAGTTAAATCTTTATTATTTCATTTATCGAGTATTTATTGTATCAGTGAAATTATTACATCATTTTTACGGGAAAAAAAAAATGGACAAAACACTGTTTAACTGAAATGATAAGTGAAACAGAAAATTTCTTTCAAATTCTTCCTTTTAAGGTGGAAAAGCCCCACTCAATTTTCATAAAATAATGTAAAGAAATACACAAGAAATTCTACAATCGAAATTTAAAATTTTTTAAACATGATATCAATGTGGTTTTTGATATTAATATTAGCAGTACTAATATGTGGATCGTGTGAATACCAACCATCTTCCATTCTTCCTTATTTCTTTCCATTTCTCATATACTACGTCATATTGACTATTGCATGCATTAACTATTGAACTTAAATGTTCACGGAAAATTGGCAATCAACTAGCGGATTTGAATGCCTGTAAATAAGACTACGTACTAAACACTCAACAGTATATATTAAATGTTGAAGATTTCTTGTTATTGACCGTACCAATAAGGTAATTAAAAGTGTAGGACAAAAACGGATGGAAGATTGCATTTACCTTTTGTATCCGTACGTTTTCTCCAACTAAATCAAACTTTGACTTGGATCAATTTGGAAATACTTTGACAACAAATGAAACCATTCCACACACATGATCCAATAAAAACTGTAAAGTTAGTGATTAGTGGTAGTTTTTTTTTCATACACACACACATATATATATATAAACACCTCTCATGAAAAAGACACTTGGAAATCAAAGGGCCTTCTACATGTTACCCTAATTCAAGATATAATATGCATACAAAAGTTAATGAGTCAAACAAAAGGTTGATCCACAAAATCATTGGTCAACACCCCCCCCCCCCCCCCCCCCAAATGGTAATTCCCTTATTGAATTATTATTTTTTCTGATAGCACCTTTATTGAATTATTTTTAATGTAATACATAATACCATCGTTTTGGAAAGGAAGAAGTATTTTTGCGATTGCTTTTTCTTCGGTTCTCCTTTCATATTTTGCTTATGGCAATCTCAACTCCATCTACCGGCTTCGGGTTCGGGAGATAGCTCACCGCTGCGGCCTCATTAATCAAATTCCACCTATTCATTCAATACATTTAGATAGTTTGCGCTTGATTTTCCTTGAAAAACTATGTACTCCTTCTATCCCAAAATTATTGTCCTATTTGAGATTTCACTTTTAGTACAATTTGAACTAAAATTAAAACTCAAACTGGACAATAATTATGGGACGGAGGGAGTATCTCGTTAAAAAAAAATACATAATGAATCAGATAGTACAATTGTAGTGACAAATACAATTGTACACCATCTCAACAGTTATTAATGTTTTTGTTATATATTGTACCAGTCAAATGTAGATTTGTATGTGGTCTAATCTAATTAAGATCGAAGATAAAGTTGGCAACACAAATTAGAAAAAAAGAAATAAAAGAGGGAAGAAAATAAAAATTGAAATATGTAGCTTTGTTTTAGCATTGGAAATCTAATAGCATGAAATATATGTATACAAAAATACCTGTAACCGAGGACCAAGTGGTGTATGAAAATGGAAATCTGCAAACGAGAAAGCTTGTTTCCGACACACATCCTTTTACCAGCTCCAAATACTAAATATGTTCCGGGTTTTGGTTGATCCTGGAAATGTCGTTGAGCATGTAATTATATTAAATTAAAGAAAGCAACATTCATGGGGAAAAATTAGAAGTTTCGATATTCTTTTTGTCCCAAAAATATTTGTAATTTTGAATGAGAGCTAGCGTACTACAAGGTTAATCGAACTTACGTCCCATCTATCAGGATTAAAGGTAAGCGGATCTTCAAAATTTTCTGGATTAACATGAAGATATCGTATCCAGCACAATACTTTCCATCCTTTTGGGATTTTGTATCCTGCAAATTTAGGCTTCAAATTCATTTGGAGAACCCGAAATATATGAATCACATCACATATCCTTTTCTTTTTATGGTTAAAAGATCAAGTACTAATGTTTGTAATATTTAATAATAATTACATCAAAATTTGTTTTCAATTCCTACATGTGGTTCATGGAGGATTTTAGCGTTAATCATGTAGTATGCCATCACTCTATTTGTTTTTCAGTAAAATGTAAAAAAAATTATAATTAGGTTAAATTAAATTAGTAATCATACTTCCATGTCAAAATTATTTACTATATTTCGTAAGATCATATATTAATGTTACCGTTAATTGAAGTAACTATTCAAATAATCAAAGAACGTGGATTCCGATCATTAAATTTAAAACAAAGATTGTTCGCAGATCTTATTTACATAATTATTCGCAAATTAAAACTCTAATTATATGAATTGATTTTAATTTATTTATCTATATACGAATAAATTAATACATATCCCATTACTACTTGATTGGATTATTTTTATTTGGGTATCCAAATATATTTTTCTTAGTTATTGTTAGTTCTGTTGGAGTATCTAAATATATTTTAATAAAAAAAATTTCTGAAAAATTAATGACATAATTAAATTTTTTGAATTGCACCTTAAGTGTAATTTAAGATAATTTTTTAAAATTTTTAATTTTGTTATTAAAATTCAAAAACACATAAAAGATACGTACATTTAATTGGCTTATAAAAATTGTTCCTTCAAAAGTTCCTCCCAAAAAATCATTTTCTCTACCAAAAAATAGAGCATAAACAAAATTATCCATGATCATCAATTATGGAGATCAATAGTAGTGCTTTTATACTTAGTTATTTGCATAGCTAGCATTCTATTAGATGAAATAAGAAAACTACACGATTAATAAGACAAATATTTTGACATAGACAGAATATTTTACTCTAATTTCGACTTTACCTTTGTATTCAACATCTTTCTTAGCAATTCGGAACATAATTGGAGAAACATTTCCCAGTCTGAGGACTTCCTCCACTACCTGCGTATAATGCAAAGTAAACAAGTCGAGCATTTTCAAACTAAAGAAATTTTCCTAATCCCGTCATAATTTTCAATACAAATCTCAAACAATTAACTAACACAAGAGTAAACTAATTAAAAACGAAAATAACACGAGAGAACATACGTACGAACCTTGTTTGTGTAGCTCAACTTCGAAATCTCATCAAATGTGATCATATCCCCTTGTTTGTTCTTCACACTAAGCAAGTTCTCTTCCTGCGAAGTCCCTCACTAAGTGGTTAATGATTACATGTTTATTAATCGAAGTACGTACTACCATCAGCTAGGTTTGTGATTATTTTTTTATTTTAATTTTTGTTTTCTTGATGGACTAAGAGTGGTTGTCATTTCTATAAAAAATAAAATTTTTTTAAAAAAGAAAAAGAGTGGTTGACATTAGTTGGTAATGATTGTTGGAATGTTGGGAATTAAAGAAAATAATTTCAAGAATATCAGTGCCAAGTAGGTCCGAAGTCATTGTTATTACTAATCCGGATTTGAGCTATGTAAGTCCTTTTCGAGAGGTAAAATTCTCCCAACAAATATTTTGATCACTGCTACATAATATAGCGGGAAAAAAAACTATAGGTTTAATTACTTGACCAATACGTAAAACGTACCCGGAGTTTGTGGAGAACATGAGGATGCTTGGCGAGATAATAGAGAGCCCAGGTGATGGAAAGAGTAGTGGATTCATACCCTGCGAGGAGAAGGACTAAAATGTTATCAAGCACCTCAGCCTCACTCAATTTCGTTCCTTCCTCATCTCTGTATTGCATCAGCCCCTCCATTAAATCATGTTTCGCATTTGCACCAACATCCCAGGAGGTGATTTTCTTCCTCTTATCCAGCTCTTCCTTAAAAATGGATAAAGCTTTCTTCCGACACTAAGACAATGAAAATTAAGAGAGATTAACTATAACTAGACATCAATGTAAATATTAGTAGACTCGTGAAAGGGTAGAGAATTATAACAACAGAGAAAAGATTGGAGCTAGGACAAGTGGCGGAGCTACGATATTTTTTCATATAGCAAGGGCGAAATTTTAATTTTTAAAAATTTTAAACTTAAAATTAAACCCTTCTTTAATTTTTTTTAAAAAAAGTTGGGAGAGGGGGCGACCGCCCTTACGGGCTGCCTGTCTCCGCCAATGGTTGCGACAAATTATATCTAAAAATAGAAAATGAATTGTCAATATTGATAACCTGAAGAGCCTTGTAATATGTAGTTCCAGGGATTTTGATGGGATAAGCTCTAGCTCCTTTGACAAACCAGGCATAAAGCTCCGATAGGATATCCAATTTTGGACCTGGCTCGAAATTTGCAAAATATTTGCCGATGTTTGCTAGTGTTAACTGGAAAGTGGAAATGGAGAGCTGGGTAAGTTAAATTTCCAATACACAAACTAATACTATATAGATGAAATATATACACTTATAAACTATACTATATTTACTCAGAGAAAACGTTCACCTTTGCGTAGGGACGGCCAGTTTTTCACACTTACAAATAGAAAATCACCAATTTCTATAAAAACTTACTAGAAACGGGTCCAAGTACTTGCAATAAAAGGTATATATATGGTGGTGATCGATATCTGAACTATTTAGAGTTCAGATCAGATCAGATAAGGGATGAGTTGGAGAAACCCTAAGTTTAGGAAGATGTGTCAAAGTCACATTGGGCTCCACAATCCACACTCAAAACCAATTGGTTGTAACTAGGTTGGCCTTTGGAGCCACTCAAAACCAATTGGCTGTAAGTGGGTTGGCCTTTGGAGTTTATAAACAGGTGACAGATCTTTCACGACACCGATAAGAGATTCTATTTCTCAACACCCCTCTTCAAGCCCAATGAGGTATATGGCCTACGGATGCAATTCACATAAGTCCAAAGTACACGGGTCTACAATTCTTCATCACAAGCCCACTCGTAAGCACGGAAGCGATTCACGCAAGTCCAAGGCACAAGGATCCACAACTCTTCCAGGTTCCAGCACGTACGGGGATCATTGCGATCAGCCCTAGACGCACGGGTCCATAGTTATCACATGTTCATAGATCGTGAGCTCTGATACCATGTCAAAGTCACTTTGGGCTCCACACTCAAAATCAATTGGCTATGAATGTGTTGACCTTTGAAGCTTATAAGCAGGTGACAGATCCTTGACGACACCGATGTGGGATTCTATTTCCCAACAAGATGAGGAGTGAATTGGGGAATAACAGGGAAGCCGAGAGAGAGAAACAGATTTCAGAAGTTAATCCATATTTTTCATAATCCAAAAAAGTTGCCTAAGAAACTATTTATACACAACAAAAGCTTACTAAAATATATTGCAAAATAACCCTCACAGCTATAACTAATTCTAATTAAGGTACTTTGATATATGTCTGCAACAGAATCATTGTTTTTATGAACAGATTTGTTATAAGTTAATTAAACCAGCAGAGTTAATTAAGTAAACTAGCTATTTAGCCATTTGATCTGAGAAGGGTTGCCTCAGCAACTTGCCTCTATTCACTGGTTAAGCAAGACTATGAAATGACTTGATCGATTAGATTGATTGAACAATTTATTATTTTTTTAAAGGAAATGTTTACCTATCATTATCATTATTAAATATTTATGCTACAAGCCAATATAGCCACACCGGCCGTCAATAATTGTAGCCTAATACTTTTTTATACCCCTAATCCCTCGTACCATATGCCCCAAATTCTACATATATAAGTTTTAAAATGTGACATTATATGTTCGGGATTTATAACATTTGAATAAATTGATAATTGGAATTAACATAGTCTAATTGTTTTATAATTTAGTCTTAGAAATTGGAATCGGTCGGCATTACTCCCTTTGTTCAGGGAAACAAAATTCACTTTATTTGACCATAGGAGTAGAATTTAGTAGGTCCCAAAGAAATTGAAAAACGATACTCCATGTGCTAAAATTATTATCCAATTTATATTTTCACTTTTTGTTCAATTTGTAAAAAAATAAAAATATAAATTGGACGATGATTTCGGTACGGAGCAAGTAATAATCGAATGATCATTCTTAATTACTGACTTATTACGAACCTTCTTTGCCTCATCATAGCCGAACACTCTACCTTTCTCTGCCCATGTTTGTAGAGCAGCAATCACCCGTGGCTGTACCATTAGTGTTACTTTTTGAAGAGCATCAGGTGTACTTATTGTTCTTGCTATAAAGCTTTTCAGCCTGGAATGCAGCGGCCCTTCTACTGCTAGCACAGAATTTTTTCCAATTAGTTCAATTGATGGCCAATTTTGGCCGAACAAAGTATCCGAATGAAAGACAAATCTGTTCAGCCCCGGTGAATATGCAATAATTGCCGGCGAACCAAAGAGATGCGTTCTAAACATTTCTGCATCACCGTACCTGCATATATATAACATTTTTCAGTTCCACCAACAAAGGAAAAGAAAATAAATAAACAATACTCCTTTTATCCCAAAATTATTATTCAGTTTAAATTTTTATTTTTAGTTCAAATTATACTAAAAGTAAAATTTTCAAATTGTACAATAATTTTGGGACAGAAGGAGTAATTAATAAAAAAGAACCTAGAGAGAGATGAGATGATTACTAGCCAATTTATTTAGCAAAGTAATGTCTGTTTTTATGAAATATAAATTTACTAAATCGAAATTACGTCAATTCTACTATATAAGTCGATTAATTAGACGCGATGCAGAAAGAATATTTTAGAGTTTATCACGATCTTACTTGTGTTTCCTAGAGTTGATAAAATCGTCAGGCTGTGCTAGAGTCTTGAAGTACCGCAAGAAGTTGAACGTCTCTCCGAAGAAAGGAAAGCCCATGTACCCAGGTGGAAGCTTTGTGCCATCTGCAATGCATCGAATTGAAACCGGAATTCCATACCAAATATCGTACCAAAACCAGCAAATCAATCCCACAAATATTGGTGCTACTCCAACAATCAAAGCTACCCACATTTCAACTGTTAAACTCATTATGTGTGTGTGTGTGTGCGCGCGCGCGCTGACTAGTTTTGGTGATATGTTTATAGGATTTAACTACTGTTATTAGCTTAGCTCATGTATAACAAGCTTTTGAAAGATTCCAATGAAAAGATGCCAATGTTTGTGGTTTCTATTAAGACAAAGGTACTTGCTTTTTTTATCCGCAATAGTTGATGCCTGTCGAAGAAGATTGTTCAAAATATAAGGCATGAGATTGAAAAAATAATAAAACTAAGATGACAACTTCAAAATTTAACATTTTTTCCAATAAGGTTCTAACCTGTTAATTTTATATTATACGTAGCTTTCTTCAGGGGAATCTTTCTTCCGAGCCAATCGCATATATATTATGATTAAGTATTTTCAACCGCAGATTCCTGAAAATAAAAAATAAAATAAAAAATATAGTAGTTCCAAATATAATCATTTTCGATACGGTTGTTAGTAAATCGGGCGCTTAAAAAAGGACAACTTAATAGGTAACGGATCCATAAAAGAATCTATATCTATACTATATGCTAGTAAAGAGTTTTCAATCGACACGTATCACTCAATTAGATAGTTTAGAGCATTCTCTGCTTTCAGAGTCTTCTTTTGATATGTGTCAATGCCATAGACACCCTCTCATTAAAGTGTTAACAATTTTTGTAAATTAATTATTTCCATTTAATTTTTATCCATATAATTCATCAATCTTTATTACAGTCCATATATATTTTATTATCTACGTAATTAATAATGATAAATCAATTTTTTCCATTACTAATTTTTTTAGCTTTTTTAATCGGTTGCGCTAAGAATAATGTTGCACACATTTTTAACCAAAGTTCACTGTGGTGGAATTTTTTAAAAAAACAATTCATAAAATTTATGTTAGTGGATGAAAAACTATCAAATATATATAAAATGTAGCATGTTTTAGGGAAATCTAACAAAAATTCTTATTAAAGAGATATTGTACGAAATACAATATATCTTTACATTTCTTTCTTCCTTTAAGTTAGCTAAAACTTTCATTTTTAATTTACTAAATTTATTTGTAAAAATTTACGAAATTTACTACCAAGTTATTATCAATATTATCGATTATTACTTCTAAAATTCTACTACGAATGGGTCGTACAAGTATTTTATCTTTCAAAATGTGGATTCTCTTGAATATAAAATATAAAAAAAGTTGAATATAATTTATACAACAAAACACGGATAAGAATTATTATATCACAAAACTAGATACAAACTTTACCATATTACGGCGATAACGCTCGGTTCAAAGTATACACTATCTCTTAGGACAAATCAAAATACTTTATAATAAACGGTGTTTATTTTCAAAGCCACCATCTTTACTACTTGTAGCCACATATTTTAAAATTAGACCATTTTACCTCTATAATTTTTTCAAATCAAATAATTTGACTAGAAAGAAAATTAAAAAAAATTAAAAATTTTTTTTAAAAAAATTGACCGACTGGGCGGTCTACCCGTCCTGGGTTAACCGGGGACGGGCAAAGAATGCGTCCTCTTGTTCGCCCGAACACGTTTAAACCAGGACGCGCAATGAACGCGTTCGGGCAGACAAGAGGACGCGTTCTTTGCTTGTCCCGGGTTAACCCGAGATGAGTGGATTGCTCGGCCGGTCCGATATGGAGAATCGGACCGGTCAGGCCTTTTTTTTAAAATTTTTTGTTTTTTTTTAAATTTTTTTGTAATTAAAAAATAGCAATATTTGTTATTTAAAAAATTATAAAAATTAAAAAATATCAATCGGATTTATTGCTATTTTTTTAATTTTTAGATTTTTTGTTGTAATTAGTTAATCTAGTTTTTAGGTCATTAAATTTATTAATAATTTATTATTTGAGTTAGATTAAGTATCACCAATCTTTGTAGTACAAAAAATAGTTAATCTATTTGCACATATTTGTCACAATCTTTGTAGTACAATTATTATTTTTCATTATAAATGTATAATTATTATTTTAACTAAAAATTATCTTTAAAGTAATTATTAAAGTAATATTTTATTTTAATATCAATTCAAATAAATTAAATTAACAAATAATCTTAAATTTGTTTTCAAGTAAAAATTAATTATTTTTTTATTTTCAAGTAAATATAAAATCGAGAGTTTAAGCATTAAAGTATAAATATTGTTAATAATATTTCAAATACGAGGTATTCAACATGTAAAGATACTGTGAATAAACTAACATTAAAATAAAAATTAATAATTTATCCGTTCTCACGTGAATTGGACCGAATGACTTGCCCTGTTCGGTCCGAGTGGCAGGGACAAAACGGAAATTCTTCAAAATTAGTGATTTCAAGTACTAATTTGGGTGGCTAGAAAAATCCAACCCCATAATGGAGACCGGATGGAGTAATTTCAAAGTATATACTCTCTCTTAAGCGCGCTCTCTAATAATGAACTAGCAATTAATTTCTTGTAACTATTTCGATTGATCGGCTCATCATATTTAATAGTACAAAAATGAACATAAATGCAGAAAAGATTTTGAAACTCCCTTTCAAATGGGAACTAAGTGACTAATTATGTGTGACAATATCAATTTTTTTTCTTGAATATATTCTGATTGAACGATGATTAATTTATGTAACAAGTATTTGGATTTATTAAGACATGTACAGTTTTATTCAATCAATGATCTCTTTTGCTCATCATTATTATTATTTTTTTCTTGGAAGATTCTAGAATTTCACATTTCTTTTTATTTCAAAGAAAAGAAAGAAAAACAATTTCGATTTAGTTTTGTTTTCCAGAAATTTCGTATTTTTTGGGATTATTATTTATGCTTTTGAGATAAAAACAACAGATAATATGAAATACTCGTAATATTAACTTTTAATTTTTCAATAATTTCGAAATTCGAAAAAAAAAAGGTGATCTGAATGAAGCAATTTTTGCTACTACTATTTCGAAGGGTCGTACACTCCTCTTCTTCTTCTTCTTCTTCTTCTTTTTTCCCTCTCAAGTCTCAAATCATCCTGAGTTTTTCTATATGGCGTCAGACAGAGCAAAAGTAGAAGAACCTCCGGCAATCGGAATCGACCTCGGACCTACTTACTCGTGCGTTGCGGTTTGGAAAAACGATGGCGTTGAAATCATTTCTAACGATCCAGGCAACCGTACAACCCCTTCTTACGTAGCCTTCACTGACACCGCCCTTCGTTTCGTCGGCGACGCCGCCAAGAATCAGGTTGCGGCCAATCCCGTCAACACCGTTTTTGGTGAGATTATTGATACAAACCCTTTTGACGCTTTTGTTTAATGTTATTCTTTTTTCATTTCTTTCCTCAGTAATGATTCTCAGATGTACTTGTCGAACGTCCTTTATTATTGTCTGAAGGAAGGGAATTTTTTTGAAGCTATTGTTTCTAGTCTCGTCCTGTGTTTTCTCTTCACAAAATCTCTGGATTAATTGGTCATTTTTTTTTTCTTTTGTTGGGCGAAAGGCGTTGGTATATCTGATTGTCTGTGTTACTATTCGGGAAATTTAAAAACGTAAAGAGATAGCATTATACTCTCTCCGTCCTGAAATAATAGCCGAATTTGGATTTCCAATTTTAGGAGTGCTCTTGAAGTCCTTTTTATGAATATAATTGAATTACATGTTTTGTCGTTTTCATGAATATTTTTGTGCTAACCCATGATTACAAATTCTTGCTTCTGGTTTTAGATGCCAAGAGATTAATAGGTAGGAGATTCACGGATGTCTCCGTACAAGCCTTTTGTTGTCATCTCAAGCCCTGACAACAGGTGTCTTATAAGGGTGGCGAAAAAAAACAATTCGCAGCTGAGGAAATTTATTCAATGATTCTTTCGAAGATGAAAGACACTGCTGAGTCCTTCCTTGGTGTAGAAGTGAAAAAGGCGGTGGTGACAGTACCCGCGTATTTCAATGATTCACCGCGACAGGCAACTAAAGATGCGGGAGTCATTGCTGGCCTCGATGTGATGCGTATTATCAACGAGCCTACAGCTGCCGCCATTGCTTACCCTCTTGATAAGGATTCCAAAGCTGCAGGGGAGAAGAATGTTCTCATTTTTTACCTTGGAGCCGGTACTTTTGATGTCTCCATTCTCACCATTGAAGAGGGTGTTTTTGAGGTCAAAGCAACTGCTGGAGATACTCATCTTGGAGGAGAGGATTTCAATAACAGAATGGTTAGCCACTTTGTTCAAGAGTTCCAAAGAAAGCACAGCAAAGACATCAGTGGCGATCCGAAAGCTCTTAGGAGATTGAGGACAGCTTGCGAGAGGGCAAAGAGGGGCCTTTCGTCATCAACTCAGATAAAACATGAGGTTGATTCCTTGTTTGAAGGGGTCGACTTTTATGCCAACATTACTCGCGCCAAATTTGAGGCGATGAACTTGGATCTGTTCAACAGATGCATGGAGATTGTCGACAAGTGTTTGACTGATGCCAAGATGGATAAGAGTAAGCTTCATGAAGTTGTGCTTGTTGGCGGTTCAAGTAGGATTGCAAAGGTTCAGAAATTGCTGCAAAAACTACTTAAAAGGAAAGGAGCTTTGCAAGAGAATCAATCCAGATGAGGCCGTTGCGTATGGCGCAGCTGTTCAAGCCGCAATATTGGCAGGAAATATGGTTGATCAAGAAGTTGTGTTGGTAGATGTGACTCCATTATCTGTTGGTATAGGAAGTTTAGGAGAAGTCTTCAACGTTGTTGTCCCGAGGAACACCACAATCCCTACGAGGAAGGAGAGAGGATTCACAACTGTTTATGATAATCAAACTGCTGTTGATTTTCCAGTATATGAAGGTGAAAGAGCAAGGTCATCTGACAATAATCTGTTGGGTAAATTTACACTCTCCAATATCCTTATTGCCCCTGTACGAATTCCTAACTTAAAAATGTCTGTTTTGATATCGATGCAAACGGCATTTTACACGTCTCCGCTGAGGATAAGAATACAGGATCAAAGAATCAAGTTACCATCACCAGGGATAAAGGAAGATCATCAGCTGAAGAGATTGAGAACATGGTGAAAGAAGCGGAGAAATTGAACGCCGAGGAAGAGGATCACAAACGGAAACTCGCTGCAAAGATTTCTTTCGAGAGTTACATCCAGAAAACAAGAAGGAAAATCCGAAACAGGCATGCTATACCATCTCCACAGAAGAAGAAGATGGAGGATGCAATCGACCAAGCGATTCAGTGATTGAATGGACAGGATACTACTCTTGATGAGGTAGATGAATAGAGGGGCGGACGTACATACATCAATTGCCCCACCTGAAAATTTTTTTTTGCTAGTTAAATCCTGAAATTTTTAGATTTTTTTTTACAAAATATTAGTTTTTGCCCCACCTAAATTTGAGATAATAAGGGACAAGTGTATTAATTTATAAGTGTTGAAAATTTTGCCCCATCATATCTTAGGGGCTTGGCTCCGCCCCTGGATGAATATCAAGAAAAGATGGAAAAGCTTGTGAAGTTGTTCAATCCAATACTTGAGAGTAATCCTTCAAGTTCAACTAACATTTTCACTTCCAATGGTACTCCTTCTAAGAAGCTAAAATGTGATATCGACTGATGAGAAGGATCTAGCTTTTCTAGTATACTTATTTTGGCGGTTTCTTTATGAAGTAGTAGTAGTATTTTTCTCGATGCTTGGTATGGTTTACAATATTTCTTATACATTTTTGGCCTTTAGATTCCTGAACTGGATTGATTTACTTAATAGTTTATAAATCTAAATTTGTTTGGTGACATGCATTTTCCAATCACTGACGAATCTTATTTATAAATTTCATGATCAGATTTCCTGTCATGTCAAAGTTTTTTTGGTGAAGCAATATTTTGGTTTTCTCTTTTCTTGATCGCTGGTTACCAAGTTTCATGGTGATGGAGACCACCTACATGAATCATTAAAATGGTGTAGACGATAGCTTTCGAGATTTACATATCTGAGATTTATATGTCTTAATTTACATATTTTGGATCATTCCCTCCAAGAGGTTGATTTAATTCACAAAGAAATATAGAAGTCAGCAATTATGCAGTCCTTGCCCGAGGGAGAGAGAAAGAAATATAAGGTCATTCCATTCAGGTTGCCTCAAAGAAAATATTCTATACATATGTTGCATCTTACTTTTTAGTATAACAACCCAATCCTAATAAAGAAAAATTGATAACCATTTTTTGACCCCCATTAATATTAATAAACTCTCGCTAAAATTGTAAACTCCTCCAAAATATATGTTGTATATGCTGACGTGGTATAACCGGTGCACTGCCATCAAACTATCTTGAATCATTTGCTCTGACATATATTTATCGCGTCAATTATTATTAATAATTTGGTCAACATTCAGCTAAACATCTCCCACGGCACATTTCTACTGTATCACTTCCTGTCAGACTACACAATTAATTTGTCATTGGGTGTTTATAAATTGAAAGCGAAACTATTATGTAAAGAGAAATATTTTTCTAGCTATCTATATTACCCATTTATATGTTTTAATGCGTCCTTATCACTCTCCCTCTTTATGATTTATTTTTATCACAATGATTAATTTGCAGGCCTATTTCCTATTACAAAGTCCCACATTACGTTTTTGTTTTCAATTTATTTTTTAAAAAAATCTGCTAAGATTTTTATTCGGAAATAAGTGTTCCAATCTTACACAAACATTTTTTTTATCAATAATATAAAAAAATATGACTAACCAAATAACACTATCCATAGAAATAACACCAAAATAGTCTTTTTCTAAAAAAAACTTATGTATTCCATGCATGCAAAAAATAATTTATTCTTAATGTAGTGGACTTTTTTATTGCCCCAACTTTGTTTGTGCTAATATTTATTAATGTTATTCAAGAAAAATATGAAGATCATGTTATGAAAAAGATTTTCAATCAAATTATGCAAAACTTTTTTTTACTTAAATGGAAGTTTTGGGAGATCCAACAGTAAATTTTAAAATAATAAATAGAAATTTGTAATGAACATGAAATAGAAGGTAGACCGATAAATATTAAATAATGGATTGTGAAATTTTTTTCCCTCTATCATAAAGAAGGGGATAAATTAAGAGGGGGCCCCGGTGGGATACATATTTGGAATAAATATTAAAAACATATAAATGGGTGATATAGGTAGCTAAAATTAATTTGTTGTCTATCCAAAAAAATTTGCTTCCAATTTATCAATTTTAATTTTCCTAATTTTCAACTTAGCATTAATACAATAATAACAACTGTTTAATGTCTATCCTAGTTTTTTTCACCGATTTATTAGGCAATATTATACCAAATTTTTTCTCAACCTTATCTTCTATTTATATTTTATTACTCTCTCTGCTAAAAAAAAAAATCGCTTTTAATTCAACAAGTTGGATTATTTTTTTGGCTGAGAAGGATTACATTTATTGATGTTCCGCACCATGATATATACTATTGTATTCTCTTGTTTTAAAATAATTGCCCAATTTGAAGCTATAAATGAAAATCCAAACAAACTGGACAAAATTTCGGGTATGCTACACCATTTTTACATTGGGTAAAGAGTAATTCAATGCTGAATAATGAAGTTATAAAAGTGCGATCAAATTGGAAACTTGTTAAACTAAATAATTATAGCTCTGGAGTAACTGTGCTCTTGATTAATTTATCTATTTCCCCCCGTAATTTACTCAGCTTTAATTTCTTGTTTCAAGAATTACTTATTAATTTTTTCACTGAATTAAAGTTTCAAAAAAAAAAAAACTTTTCTGACGTGTTAGAATATTATTAGGAGCCGCTATAAGGAAAATGAAACCAAAACTCATCCCCTATAAATAATCCTATTTCAAAGCCTGCGGGTTTATGTAGTTTGTACTTCCTACATCTCCATCAATATATCCCCTCTTGCTCCAAACTCTCTTCCCAACTTTGATTTCCAAGTTTATCTTGATTTTTGTTTAACAATGGCGTCAACCAAGCCAAAAGTCGAAGAAGCTCCGGCGATCGGAATCGACCTCGGCACTACTTACTCCTGCGTCGCCGTCTGCCAACATGGCGGCGTGGAGATCATCGCTAACGATCAAGGTAACCGTACAACTCCCTCTTACGTAGCCTTTACGGACGCCGTTCGCTTTTCCGGCGACGCTGCCAAGAATCAGGTTGCTTCCAATCCCCTCAACACCGTTTTCGGTAAGATTACTCGCAAAGTACCCTTTTGATCCTTTTGTTTATCATTCCATTATTTTATTTTATTTTTTTGTTCGACTTTGAGGTTAATTAATGTGCTTCCCATAGTGATTTTCCAATGATGTTTTTAATGTACGTTTTGTGTGTTATGATGAGTGGAGAACTTTATTTAGTTGACATGCTATCGATTTGTTTTTTTTAATCTTGTACCTTTTGTTGATCTTTTCAATTTGTTGTCGTTCAAAGGCTTTGTGATGTGTTGGTAGTTCCGAATTTCTGTTGTTATTGCTATTGCCTATTGGTATAGTTTCAATTACTTGTGGTTAGGATTTTTAAAGAGCTAGGGTTGCTTAAGCTTTACAAAACCCTAACTTCACTCTACCGGCACATATGGAGCCTAATTGTCCTAGATTAAAAATGTTTTCCTTATATTATATTGTCTCTTTGTTGATCTTTTTGAACTGTGTAAGTGATTTGGCCGGTGTTTAGGGCTACATTGATACAATGTCCTTTGTTACTCCCCTTTATCCCAAAACACCCGGAATTGGCCGTAGAAAAAAAGAAAAAGGAAAAAAGAGGTAGGCCTGCTTAAAAGTTACCATTTGTTCAATATGTGTGTCCTAAAGTAGTAAAATGCCATTCTTCTCTACTTTGTAATCATGTGATACTTGGATGTAACAATGCAGCATATTGTCTATTGGGATTGTGCATATGTAGGCTTACATTGTTTGATTTGAATAGTTTTTTTTTTGTGTTCTGAGTTTTTCTGATGAGACCATGATTAGAATGGTTTGCTTCTGATTATAGATGCCAAGAGATTAATTGGTAGGAGATTCACGGATGTCTCAGTACAAGATGACATGAAGCTCTGGCCATTTGTTGTCGTCTCCAGCCCTGGTGACAAGCCAATGATCGAGGTATCTTATAAGGGTGAGAGAAAGCGATTTGCGCCGGAAGAACTTTCTTCTATGGTTTTTCCAAGATGAAGGAGACCGCTGAGTCCTTCCTTGGCGTGCCAGTGAAAAAGGCGGTTATAACAGTTCCCGCCTACTTCAATGATTCACAACGACAGGCGACTAAAGATGCCGGAGTCATTGCTGGCCTCGATGTGATGCGTATTATCAACGAGCCTACAGCTGCCGCCATTGCTTATGCCCTTGATAAAGAAACAAATAACGTTGGGGAGAAGAATGTTCTCATTTTCGACCTTGGAGGCGGTACTTTTGATGTCTCTATCCTCACCATAGAAGCGGGTATTTTTGAGGTCAAAGCTACAGCCGGAGATACTCATCTTGGAGGGGAGGACTTTGATAACAGAATGGTTAACCACTTTGTTCAAGAGTTTGCAAGAAAGCACAAGAAGGACATTAGCCGCGATCCAAGGGCTCTTAGGAGATTGAGGACAGCATGTGAGAGGGCAAAGAGAGGACTCTCGTCCTCAACTCAAGCTAAATCGAGGTTGATTCCTTGTTTGAAGGAATCGATTTTTATGGGAACATAACTCGAGCCAAATTCGAGGAAATGAACATGGATTTGTTGACGAAATGCATGACCGTCGTCTCCAAGTGTTTGTTTGATGCCAGGATGGATATGCGTAAACTTCACGAGGTTGTACTTGTGGGCAGTTCGAGTAGGATTCCAAAGGTTCAGCAGTTGTTGCAAGCATTACTATACGGAAAAGAGCTCTGCAAGAGAATCAATCCCGATGAGGCAGTCGCATATGGCGCAGCTGTTCAAGCCGCGATATTGGCAGGCACTATGGCTCAGGAAGTTGTACTGGTAGACGTGACTCCATTATCTCTCGGCATAGAATGTATAGGTCAAGTGTTTTCCATCGTAGTCCCGAGGAACACTACTATCCCTATCCGAAAGGAGAAAATCTTCACAACAGCATTTGATTATCGAACCAGAGTTCGGATTCAAGTATACGAGGGGGAAAGAGCTAGGTCATGCGACAACAACTTGTTAGGTACATTTGTGCTCTCCGAAATCCTTACAGCCCTTAGGGGTATTCCTCAAATTAATGTCTGTTTCGAGTTGGACGCCAACAGCATAATGCACGTTTCTGCTGAGGATATCACCACAGGATCAAAGAAACAAATCACCATTACCAATGACAAAGGAAGAATATCAGCTCGGGAGATTGAGTACATGGTGAAGGAAGCTGAGAGATTGAATGCCGAGGAAGAGGAACATAGAAGGAGAGTTGCTGCGAAAGAGGATCTCCACAATTGTATCGTTAGAACAAGAAGGAAAATCAAAAAAAGGCATAATGTTCTACCTTTGGCTGAGAAAAAGAAGATGGAAGATGCCATCGATAAAGCCATTCAATTGTTGTTGATTGGGGAAACACTTGCTGCGACAACTGATTATCAGGACGTGATGGAAGAGCTCGGGAAGTTGTGCAGTCAAATACTTGCCAGATTTCCTCCTTCAGCAGCTAACATTAGCACTAAAAATGTTACTCCTTTGAAGAAGCCAAAATACGAGACCATCGATTAAAGATATATAATTTGGTTAGTACACTTTGGTCCTGCCGGTAGATTGTAGGTTTTTCGTTTGCACATTTACTATGTGCCTACTTTCGGCAACAATAAAGTTGTTTAATATGTTTAGTTGATTCTTTCTCAACTTGCGTGTTTGCAATGCATACTAATCCCTTCCTTTCAAAATGTTTTTCGTCGTCTCAATCATGTTGAAGTGTACAAATATGCTTAAAGAAAAAAAAAAAAGATAAAAAGAAGAGAATTGCTCTCCCTATCCCAAAATTATTATCCAGTTTAATTTTTCATTTGTATTATAATTTGAATTAAAAATGAAAAGTTAAACTGGACAATAATTTTAGGATAAAAAGGAGTATAATATTCTATTACTCTACTATAACTGATTCTTGCAATGCCTTATACTGCACAATCGAACTCGAAACATAGCGATTGAACATATACCTAGGGAAAAACAAGTAGAGTTCAGAAATAAGTAGCTTATAAGATTGACATTGTTTTTATAACCCAGGAGCACACTCACAATTTTGGAATCGATTGTTCTATTTTTGAAAGATTAGTGGACTTGTACTGGATAGGTTGATCATCAAATCTGGCTCCAAACATATTCATAAGAGAAAATTATTAATAATTTACGTAAGGATGAATAATGTTGTTACAATAAGTCATAGCCTAATATGATAAAAGGTCTTCCATAAGTGACATAATATTACTGTTACATCTTTTTAAAGAAGATAGATGTTAGTTCTTTGCATTAATTATAGGGGAATGAGATAACGTAGTTAGTACCTAAAATCGAACATGTTTTAATTCAACCTCCACCTTGGTTCAAGTTTAATTATCCTGTGTCAGAATGTACTTCCTTTACCCGAAAAATATTTTCACTTTGTTGTATTATTTTAATTCAATAAAGTGAACTATTTTTTTAAAAACAAATGTGGATTAGCAATTTTTGAGTAAGTAGCACCAAGATGCATTAGAATGATATATATCATTCCAAAAGTAAGAATCAATATTTTAATAACTTTAAGTTTATAGAAAGAAATTTCTTTCAAAAGTTACACTTATCATAGGTGGAAGAGTCAAGTGCGATGTTAAGGATTTAGATTGAATAATTCTTTTTTTTTTTTTAATAAAAAGTTACAACTATCATATTTCACAATAGGTTACTCTCGTTCTCAATTTTGTGCCACCCCTACATTTCGCAAGACATTTTTTTTTTGCATCGATTATTATTTTTTAAACGATAACAATTGGTAAATGTTCCCTTAAAAACTAGGTACTCGTCTTTGAAAGATAGTCTATTTTATTGATATAGAACAACATAAAAATGTGGATTATATATATTTGTCAGATAAAGAAAATAATACTTACAAGGCCTTCTTATATATATGGACATTTAACTTCTTTTTGAAACACATTCTTAAATCTGTGCTTCAATAAATTTCTTGTTTGTGTGTCGTGATCTTCTTAGGTGTTAGGGATTGAAGGGGATTCTATTGGTGTGACATTCAGGACTTTAACTGTTTAAGTGAAGGAAATGCGTATGTGTCTAGGTTCTATTTGATTCGTATGCTGGAAATATAAAAGATATTTCTTCTGTCCAAAATTATTGTCGAGTTTGAAATTTCAAATTTAATACAATTTGAACTAAAAATGAAAACTCAAACTGGACAATAACTATAGAATTAAAGGAGAATGTGACATTATAAATATAAAAAGTATGAAATAACTAGAAAAGATCTATTAAGAAAAGACCCCAACCAAACGGGAGAACTGAGAAGTGGAATGTACTTGAATCAGGGAACTGAGAAGTGGGACTGAAACAAGTTTGGGACATTCTGCTTAAAAATGATATTGTTTGGATAATGAGACCAATGAATGAGTGTAGTGCAACTAGAATAATACTCCACTAATACTACTAGTAACCCGTAAAACTTCCTAGATGCGATAAATTAAACAAAATCAAGGTCGTACGTGATAATGTCATTGTGATACCCTACGCGATAGTAATGATCAACAGTTCAACACCTTTTTTGAAATACTACAATAGAGAGATATAACGCCAAACAATCGGCGGGCAGTGCATTGTCAAATCGTAGTCTTTTCCACTCTCCACTTTCTCACTCCCATTGTCTCACATACATTACAGTAAGTCAGTAACTAAAGTAGAGTAGGATAGTACCTTATTACTGCCTCGAAAATCTGCATCTATTTCAAAAAGGGGTCATTTACTCTGCATTCCTTCATCTTCCCTCTTTCAAAAACTTTTCAAATTATTTTTTGATTTCTTCTAATAACCAAATGGCATCAACCGTAGCAAAAGTCGAAGAAGCTCCGGCAATCGGAATTGACCTCGGGACTACTTACTCCTGCGTCGCTGTCTGGCAACACGACCGTGTTGAGATCATTGCCAACGATCAAGGCAACCGGACCACTCCTTCTTGCGTCGCCTTCACTGACACCGCCGTACGTTTCATCGGCGACGCCGCCAAGAACCAGGTTGCCGCCAACCCCGTCAACACTGTTTTTGGTAAGATTATTTACGAAACCCTTTTGGCCCTTTTCTGTTCTTTTCCATTTTCTTGGCTCGGTGATAAAATTCTCAGACGTACTCTGTATTAAACCGAAAGAAATGGCATAATACCGATTTTTTTTTTTTAATGTAAAGGAACTAGGATCTTCAAAGAAGTGATGCAAATAGATTGCCTGATTATATAAGTAGCAGATTTGATCAATGGTGTGTTCTAAAATGTTCTACTTCTCTGTTTCTTACTTTTAATTTATTTTTTTTTTTAAAAAAAATAGGATTCATAAACCTAATGTAGCCTATTTGTGGGATTTTGCATTGGCCTATTGTGTCTGCATTGAATAGTTCTCTGTTTTGGGTATTTTTGAGAAGTATGTTTTCGGCTCTTGATTAGAAAGGCTATCGCTTCTGTTTGTAGATGCCAAGAGATTAATTGGTAGGAGATTCAAAGATGTGTCTGTACAACATGACATGAAGCTCTGGCCATTTGTAGTCATCTCTGGCCCTGGTGGCAAACCGATGATTGAGGTATCTTATAAAGGCGAGAAAAAGCAATTTGCAGCTGAAGAAATTTCTTCTATGGTTCTTTCCAAGATGAAAGAGACTGCCGAAGCATACCTTGGTGCGACCGTGAAAAAGGCAGTAGTAACCGTTCCTGCGTATTTCAATGACTCGCAGCGACAAGCTACCAAAGATGCGGGAGTCATTGCTGGCCTGGATGTTATGCGCATTATCAATGAACCTACAGCTGCCGCCATTGCTTATGCTCTTGATAAAGAAACCAAAAGCGCAGGGGAGAAGAATGTTCTCATTTTTGACCTTGGAGGTGGTACTTTTGATGTCTCTATCCTCACCATCGAAGAGGGTGTTTTTGAAGTTAAAGCTACTGCTGGCGATACTCATCTTGGAGGAGAGGACTTTGATAATAGAATGGTTAGCCACTTTGTTCAAGACTTCCAAAGAAAGCACAACAAAGACATTAGTGGCAATCCAAAAGCTCTTAGGAGATTGAAGACATCTTGTGAGAGGGCAAAGAGGGGCCTTTCATCCTCAACTCAGATTAAAGTAGAGATTGATTCTTTGTTTGAGGGAATCGACTTTTATGCCAGCATTACTCGCGCCAAATTTGAGGAGATGAACTTGGATTTGTTTAAGAGATGCATCGAGATTGTTAAGAAGTGTTTGACTGATGCAAAGATGGATAAGAGTGCACTTCACGAGGTTGTACTTGTGGGTGGTTCTAGTAGGATTCCTAAGGTTCAGCACTTGTTGCAAGAATTACTTCACGGAAAGGAGCTTTGCAAGAGAATCAATCCCGATGAGGCAGTCGCGTATGGCGCAGCTGTTCAAGCCGCGATATTGGCAGGCACGATGGTTCAGGAAGTTGTACTGGTAGACGTGACTCCATTATCTCTCGGCGTAGAATGTATAGGTCAAGTCTTTGCCATTGTAGTCCCGAGGAACACTACTGTCCCTATCCGGAAGGAGCAAATATTCTCAACTGCATATGATTATCAAACTGGTGTTTCAATTCGAGTATACGAGGGTGAAAGAGCTAGGTCATGCGACAACAACTTGTTAGGTACATTTGAGCTCTCCAAAATCCTTAAAGCCCGTAGGGGTATTCCCAAAATTAATGTCTGTTTCGAATTGGATGCCAATGGGATAATGCATGTTTCTGCTGCGGATATCACAACAGGCTCAAGGAAACAAATCACCATTACCAATGATAAAGGAAGATTATCAGCTGAAGAGATTGAGAAAATGGTGAAGGAGGCGTTGAAATTGAATGCCGAGGAAGAGGAACATAAAAGGAAGGTTGCTGCGAAAAAGGCTCTTGAGAGTTATATCCTTAGAACAAGAAAGAAAATCAACAATAGGTATGCTAATGGTAATCTACCTTCGGCCGAGAAAAAGAAGATGGAAGATGCAATGGAGCAGGCCTTCCAGTGGTTGAATGGAGATCATCTTGCAGGGACAGATGACTATCAGGACAAGATGGAAGAGCTTGTCAACTTATGCAATCCAATACTTGCTGCTGGCACTACCTGTTGTCCTCCTTTGAAGAAGCCAAAATACGAGATAATCGATTGAAGGGAAGGAGCTGGCTGCGCTAGTACTATATTTTGCGGTTACATTACTCTCTAACAGTACATATTCTGGATGCATAGATGGTATGGTTTCTAACTTGTCCAGCATTTTGGCCTTTAGGTTTTCAAATTGGATAGATGACTCAGTAGATGTGATCATCTAAACATTGCTGGTTTCCGTTTTGCTGAATTCTAGCACCAACAATATGGTTGTTAAAAGGTATAAACCCACTTCAACCTGCTCAGCCAAATTTTGTTCATTTTGGACCTGTTTAATGGCTGGGAAGAAGTGTAAATATCAGGGAGGAGAAGATGAAGCTTATTTTTGTTGCACCTGGTTTAACAATTTCCACATTCTTACCAAGGTTTATAATCGTAATTCAGTAAAAAAAAAAAAAAAAGAAACAAAACCACGAATATTGATCACCGAACCTTAAAGTAATTTTTTATAAAGAACGAATACATTGCTCCAGCCAAAAGTGAATTTGGATTTTGGAGCATCGCGGGCAATGAATGAAATGCATGACTAGTTAAAGAAAAGGTAACATATTGTACCCAAAAGAAAAGAAGAAGGTAACGTATGTGCCAATTTTTATTTTAATTTTTTTTCCCCTTGTTCGAGTTCGACTAACCTGATCTTTATTAAATAGCTGCTACATCGTCACAATCGCAAATTTAGAGTTGATTTGTTCTATTTTTGAAGAATTTGTGGATCTTTATATAAATGGCAAAGAGGTCATTATCCTCCTCAAAAGATGGTCCCTCACATTTTCATGAATAAACTATGCTAGAAATTTGTCTCTGCGTAAAAATGCACATACAGTCCAATATAAGACTCTATCAATAAGTTGTTACCGGCCTATAACTCGTGAATAATGATTATGTGGCAGTGTTTTTGTTGGCATTAGTTTAAGGCCAATTTGAATTGCAAAACTCCACGCTACTCCCTCTTTTGTCAAAAAAAAAAAACTCCACGCATTTTTAATTGGCAAAAAAAATCTAAAAACATATTTTCACATTCGTTGTATTTTTTTAATTGTTATGAAATATTTGTAAAGTTCTTTTGTCAATCAAAAATACGTAATATATGAAATTCAGGACAAATCAAAATGCCGTATATTAAGGACCGGAGGGAGTACATCATAGCTCGAGTAGAATGTTATATGGATAACTTACTTCCAAAATGTATTTATGTAATTTTAAGGTTTAAATCCCTCTTTATTGTAAAAGATATATAAGATAAAATCCTCAAATCCCATACTCAGCCTTTTTTTTTAATCCCATACTCAGCTAACATAACTATTACACCTTTTTTTTTAGCTAATCATCAATTTATAGTTATTAATTTCATTGGTTTCATATCTGTTGTTTATTTATGCAATACTTTCAACTCATGAATTTTATTAAATAAATTTGTGTTAAAAACAAAAACGTAAGATACTATTTTCATTTCAAAATGTAAGTCGTCTTAAATTTATAATAACATTTCTAAATTTTAGTGCAGCTTTTAACTTACAATACGTTACCAGTACTAACTTTCTAGCTTACTTTTAATCATATACTCTTCTTCTTAAGTACTTCCTCCATTTCAAAATATGAGAGATTATTTGGTGAAGCCGCTGCACCACATCGGCAGTGTTACGTAGTGCAGCAACCCACTAAAAATAAGACGCTTGGTGCATAATTTTCAACCTTTATATTCTTTTCCTTTTTTTTTCAATTTCCCCCGTCGATGCCCCAAATTAAATTAAAATCAGCTGCAAATTTTTCGCTCCACGATTTGTGTCTTCCTCCCACGATCGCTGCCGGCCGAATAGGAGAAGCTATGGCTATCAATCAAGACAAGAGCGGAAAAATAATTTCCCGCAAATTTATTTGGATAAAAGTTCATCTTCTTTTTTTAATCTGGAGTAGAGTTCTTCTCCATTATACAGAACTTGATAACTCTTCCGAAATTATATTTTTTTCCCTTAAGATTGCTTCCAGCTAGTGGGATCTTCCAAAGAAGCAGATAAGAACTCCAAATCTAATGAAGGTATGCCTCGTCCTCATATTGATTTTACTGCTCCAGAATTGTTTTTGGATTTTTCATCGAAAAGGTCTAAAACTTTTTTTGCCGCTAAAAACATGTTTTTGATATGCCTATTTGATTCATCAACTTGGTATTCTTATTGTTGCTCATATTCTGAGATCGCTAATTGTGATAAGATATTACTGCTAGATTAATCTCAGAAGGCATTAGTTGTATATTGGTCAATATTAGTACATTGTTCTAAAATATATTCTGTGCAATCATTAATGAAATTATGATATGTAATTGAATATTTTATGCTCATTTCTTTGCAGTCATTGATTTGAACCACGCACTTATTGATTTGAACTATGAAGAGTCTTGTGAAAATCATAATGAACAAGAAAAAGAAGAAGTCCAAGGAATAGTAATCAAACGTAGTGATAGTGAGCTCTGTTTAAAACCTGGGATGATAGTGCATAGTGAGAAAGAAGCATACGATCTCTATAATGAATATGCATTGCATAAAGGTTGTAGTATTCGCCGTGGCCAAATGCGGTATAAGTATGGAACTAAAGAGGTTTGTGGAAGAACTTTTGTTTGTTCAAAACAAGGTTTTCGTGATTGTGATCCTTTTGAAGAGAAAAAGGTTGATCGTCTAGAAACTAGGACTGGCTGTGAGGCTTTTGTGACATTTAAGGTAGAAAATGGTATTTGGGAAGTTATTCGTTTCAATGATGATCATAATCATGAGTTTGCTCTACCGGAGCAAAGACATTTGTTAAGGTCGGGGAGAATACTTTCAAATGTTACAAAAGATGTGGTTGATTCCTTGCATTGCGCAGGCGTTGGGCCAGCAAAAGCACACGAATTTCTTGCTCTAGAACACGGTGGATATCAAAATGTTCCGGTCGCTAAAAGGGATGTTCAAAATTATGTGAATAGAACAAGAATGAATTTATTTGAAGCTGGAGATGCTCAGGCACTTTTGAACCATTTTAAGGATAAACAAGCTGATGATCCTATGTTTTTCTATTTGCCTTAGCTGGATGACCAAAATCGGTTAACAAATATATTTTGGAGAGATGTAATGTCCAAGTTTGATTATGATTGTTTTGGAGATGTTGTGGTTTTTGATACTACTTTCCGGACAAACACGTATAACATGATTTGTGCCCCATTTATTGGAATAAATCATCATTGGCAGAATATCTTGTTTGGTTGTGCATTTCTTCTTGATGAAACTATTCCTTCTTTTGTCTGGTTATTTGAGACTTTTAAGGCATCGATGGGCAACAAGCAGCCAAAAATTATCTTTACTGATCAAGATGCAGCAATGGCTAATGCTATTAGCCATGTTTTCCCTGATTCATGTCATCGGTTATGTACTTGGCACATACAAAAAAATGCCGCCACCAATATTCACATCTTTATGGTAAGCCTGAATTCAAAAAAAAAATTTATAAGTTCTTTGGCGGTTATGAAACTGAGGAGGAGTTTGAGCATAATTGGAGAGTAATGATTGAAGAGTGGGGTCTACAGGGTAATAGCTGGCTTACAAGGCTTTATGAAAATCGCAGAAAATGGTCTCCTGTGTTCAGTCATGATATTTTTTCTGCGAATATGAAGTCTACCCAAAGAAGTGAAAGTGCTAATAATGTCTTTCAAAGCATGTCATGTAAGACCTTGACTTTGATTGAATTCTTTAAGCATTATGAGAGAAATGCTGAAAAAATGCGTGAAGCTGAAAATGCTGAAGATTTTAGAGGTATATATGGAAGACCTCATGTTCGCATACCTAGTGGAATCATGATGCATGCAGCTGAGGTATATACATGCAAATTATTTTCCATGTTTCAGGCAGAATTTGACGAAAGTGTGACGGAAAAGATAATTAAGCATGTTCCTGAATGGCATAATTAATTGCTTTAAATTGAAGAGGTGGACAAAGAATGCAAAAGATATTCACATTCATGATAACAGAATTTCATCCATGAAAGGTGATGTGAAGGAGTCTAAGACACTCATATTTAGTAAACTAATGCACAAAGCAAGCAATGTCATGAATTTGGCTATGTTTGATGAAAGGGCTGTTGAAATTTTTGAAGAGTTACTTGATGAAGCATATGAGAAAATAAAAAGCTATAAGGACAAGCTCAGCCATGGCAACAATGTTGGTATCGGTTTTGTTGAAAGTGAGAAAATTTGTACCTCTAAGGGAATGAAGGCTGTCATGAATCCCCCAAAAAAATGATCGAAAGGGGGAACAAATAAGAGAATGAAGAGTTTTGTTGAAAAACGTGGGCAAGGAAAGACCAGAACAATAGCATTATCTCAAATTCAAAACCCCAACCGTGCTAATTTAGGTATGAATGATACAATTTATGTTATATTTTGTTGTGTTGTTTTATAGGTCACCATCAATTGTTGTGCGCTTGTTGTTTTACAAAAGGGATAGATCAGTTACCTTAAATCTTCTTGGGGGTTTTCCTACAATGCAATGAACTAAGGTGCCCGTTTTATTAGCTGTTTTAATATCAGGTTCGCAACAAATTTTATAATGGTGTTTTTTTTTTGCTCAACATGTTAGTAGTTATTGAATTAGGACTTCAACAAGTTATAAAAGTAGTAGTTTATATAAGCCATTCTCATTAGCTTGAATCCAGACTTCTGTCTCTGTTTCTTTTCAGGTTGGAAGTGAATTTTAGGAGGTGGTTTCGTATGGAGGTGAAGAATAAAGAGGCATGTGAGGACGAAATCTCTTAGAAGCTTGAGATTCTTTAGTCTAGACATGTTGATTCTTTTCTTTTTTTTCTTGTTATGGTGGGGTTCATATAGTTTGAAGCTTAGAATATAACAAAGACATTTTGGCTTGGTTTGTAAATGTTTATGTTCAGTTTCTACTTATTTAAATACAGAATTTTCATTAATATATTATTGCAACAGTTGCCCAAGTTTTGTGTACTTTGATCTTTTAAAATGTTGCAGAACAGAATTATACCACCAACTCATTTTATGTGAATATGAATATTTTTTTATCATTGCAGTTTGGCCTCCAAGAGCTCATCCCTACCAGATGCTTGTCATAGTGGGGAACAACAAATGTGACAAACAAAGAATTCACTACTTTTTTATAATATTAATAACAAGAGTTAGTTGTATGAAACGGAAATGAATTTTTTTTTTAATCAAAAGAATGATACATATCTTATCCAAATGATCAAACGACCCTATTCTATATTGCATTCTATACATACACAAGCTATCTAACTAAGATTTTATGGTGTCACAGTATATTCTTAAACTTCTAGCACATTTCAAGTTGCTAAGATTCCCGCCAATGCTCGGTCCAAGTTGATGAATTTTTCTAGGAAGAAATAAGCTGCTCCAGCCACAAACTAACTCACAACACCAGTTCTGTGCTGATTCTTGCAGAACTACATCAACCATTCAGCAAAACTCAGGGCACATGCATTTGAACATCAAAACTCAGGGCATATAGACCATCTAGTATGTGTTCAAGCTGTAGGAAAAACAATAACAAAAATGGTGCAGAAATTCTTCATAATATGTTTCCGGAGCTCTCAAATCTCAAGGCAAAATATACAGTAATTTTTCAGCTGCTCTGAATTAGATTTAGTAGCATAATAATGCAATTCATCAAAATCGGTATCTTCATCAAAGTTGAAAAAAAAATTAAACCCAAAATATATGCTGTAGTCCCCCAGATCAGGAAAACGTTCACAAAGAAAGAAGAAAACCAATAGAAGGTAAGTTTCTACCCCGGCTAACAATACCTGACTGTGGTTCTTCCATTGTAGCAGTGATATCCAAAGTAGCAAATGATTAGCATATATCTGGTTAAATCAGGCACAAAAAAAAAAGCACTAGATTTCTTCAATTGCAAAGGTAAATCAATTCATCATTCTTTAAAAGAAGCCAACACATCAACAAAAGGAGAAATCAAAACCTAATTTGAAAAGAAATATCGTAATACTCTCTGAAGTTTCTCCTGGCGATTCCGATAGCAAGCCCAATCAACGAGAGTTTGGCATTCTTCTCCGGGAAAAGTGCTAGCGTCGGGGATCTTTGCCATCAATACTCCTTATCTTCCATCAAATCGTGGGAGAACAGCGGGCAATCCTCCTCCGGGAACAATGTTGGCGTCGGAATAAGATCTCTTTCGGCAGATCGTGAGAGGAAGACGATTATTTCTTTTTCCGCTCTTGTCTTGATTGATAGCCATAGCTTCTCCTATTCAGCCGGTAGCGATCGTGGGAGGAAGATGCAAATCGTGGAGCGGAAAATTTGCAGCTGATTTTAATTTAATTTAGGGCATCGACGGGGGAAATTGAAAAAAAAGGAAAAGAATATAAAGGTTGAAAATTATGCACCACGCGTCTTATTTTTAGTGGGTTGCTGCACCACGTAACATTGCCGATGTGGTGCAGCGGCTTCACCAAATAATTTCTCTCAAAATATAGGTCGTTTTAGGTTTGGAGATATTTTTCAAATTGTAGATCGTTTTACAAATTCTAGACAAATTAATAACTATTTTTTCAACTTTACCTTCAATAAATGATGCTAATCTATTTTCATTTAGTCTTTTTTATTGTTTCAATGTAATTAATGACAGATAAAACAGATGTTTAATACATAAATTAATTGTTAGATGATTACTTCCTTAGTTTACGTGCTAAGTCTAATTAAAGTAACTTACATTTTGAAATGGAGGGAGTGTTAGTTTTTTTTTAATAAGTGCATAAAAGTTACTTCTCCTGTCCCAAACTTATTGTCCAGTTTGAAATCTCACTTTTAGTATAATTTGAACCAGCATGAAAATTCAAACTAGACAATAATTATGGGACAGAGGGAGTATCTAACATACAATTAATCTTAGTTTCGTATAAAAATCTAAAATTATTACTCCCTCCGTCCCATAATTATTGTTCAGTTTAACCAAGATGAAAGAATTTATTTCTTGGTCATACTTAACAATATTTTGACTAAAACTTCCAGATATACCCCTACCTATGTAAATACCACTTTACTTGTTTTCTTAGACTAACACCGGCGAAGTGCAAAAAAATCAACCCTAATTTAAATATTCAATCAAAGCTCAAGAATTCATTCTTCCCTGTCCAACCGTGAATCAATTATTCAGATGAAGAATTTAGAATCTTTCTACTAAGGTTCAATTTGATTTTACGGATGATGCAGCTGAGGAAACCGACGATGAGAACGGCTCCGACGAGAATGACTTCGACGAGATTTCCGATGAAAATCATATTTCCACCAGTAGTGGTTCTACCCCTGGTTCTGCTGCGAGTGTTGGTGGATGGAGTTTCGGTGATTTGGTGAAGACGCTCGCTACTCGATTTGAATCGGTTATGGAGACTTACTGCCGAGATCTAGAAGAGTTCGGATCCGGTATTAGGAAGGAAACTGAAATCATCTGTAAGGTGGCGAGCCGAGCCATGAAGGAACTCCCATCTTCAATCGCGGTTGGGGCGTTGGTAGCTCATGGGTCTCTGGAATTAGTTAGTCACGCCATCGATGGGGTCATCAAATCCTAATCATCTAACAAGGTATGGAATACTGCAGCAAATGTATACTCTGATATTGAATCCAATACACCTGATATTAGTAGAATAAAGTGCAAAAGTGTAACTTATTCTATAAAAAGTCAAATTGGATAATAATTTTGAGACATAATTTTTTGGTCAAAGTGGACAATAATTATGGGTTAGTGATAATGACAGTGCAAAAAATAGCTGCCAGATCAAATTTCATAGGTTTTTCCCAATTTACCATTATTTAAGTCTAATTGTCATTCCCTTCCTAATCTTTATCTTCTATTCCATAAGCCTTATCCCCTGAATCTCGAACAGTAAAGTTTCGCTCTTATTCCTATTTTCAAGTATCAATGTATTATATACTCATATATATTCCTCTTGTTTTTACGAATCTTCCTCCCAACATGTGATCAATTTGTTCTAAAAGGAGTCTTCTACCCGCGCCAAGTAAAATTAGAATAAAAAGCTGACTAATAATTACTCCCTCCGTCCCATAGTTATTGTCCAGTTTTACTAAAATGAAAGATTTTATTTTTAGTTAAATTTAACTATATTTTGCCTTGAACAACCGGATATACCCCTACATAAGTAATTGTTTAACCACAAAGATTTTATGGATAATGTTTTTTACTAAGAATAAATGTGTAATTTGATCCATAAAAAGTCAAATTGGACAATAATTTTCGACAAAATTTTTTGGGCAAAGTGAACAATAATTATGGAACGGAGGGATTATTTGGGACAAGAAGAATAGCAATTCCAAATTCATTATATATTTTCTACTCGCTAACAATTTAATCATCTCAGGAATGCCAAAAAAAAAAAACTCACAAGACCATCAAGTTGATGGCAGCAAAATTCCACCCGTCGTCGATGGCCGCTCTCATCAACGGGAAAATATGAGAATCTCACTTTTTTTTCCTTAAATTTATGACAATGAGGCAGAGAGGAAGAAAAATCATGTGGATGATACTCAGGTCATCCGGATTAGAAGAGAGCATGGAAGGAGGAGGAGTTTTGTTTGACTTGAGTAAGGTCAAATTGGGCATAACACACAAATTTGCTCTGACAGCTAATAGTTGCACTGGCAATATTACTATCCATAATTATGAGACGGAGGGAATATTTTAAGGTTTGAAATGGGAGAGTTTGGAAGTGAATGAATGAACTAGATCGGCTTTGACACCTATGCATCGTAGATGGAATGATTCAATTTTGAATAAACAAACAAATTAGAAGCGTGTTTTTAGAAATGGATTTATTTTGATTTATCTTTTCTCCATAATTTCCTCTGCAAAATCTATATTTACGATTAACACACTCTCTCACTGTCTCACATAAATAAAATCATCGCAGTAACTAAAGTGTAGTAAATTTGTACTGGCCTCCTCTTTCATGTTTCTTCTTCCCTCTTTCGAAGAGTTTTAAAATCATTTCTTCCGACGACCATGGCGTCAACCCTAGCAAAAGTCGAAGAAGCTCCGGCGATCGGAATTGACCTCGGGACTACTTACTCCTGCGTCGCTGTCTGGCAACACGACCGTGTTGAGATCATTGCTAACGATCAAGGCAACCGTACCACTCCTTCTTACGTTGCCTTCACTGACACTGCCGTACGTTTCATCGGCGACGCCGCCAAGAACCAGGTTGCCTCCAATCCCGTCAATACTGTTTTCGGTAAGATTATTTACAAACCCTTTTGCTCGAAATTCAGGTTAATGTCGTGTTGAAATGATTTTTTCCTATAAAATTTTCGGACTTGCTCTGTTTCATGGGCCGGTTTTCGGAAGTTTGTTGACGTTGCGAAAGATATTGTTTGTCTAGATTTGGCCTCTTGGGAAGGGGGTTGGTGTTAGTGAATTTTATGTTTCAGAATTGCTGTAGTTCTGTCCGTACTATTCATAAATTTAAAACTTAATCGATATGTTGTTAGTGGTGATTTATTGATTGGGAATAGACTCATAGAAGATAGTAATAGATACTATTCATGATCCTGTGAGTTTTCTTTCCTTCAAGATATTGTTGACTTTCGTGTTTTTTTTTTCTTTTAGGATCTTCAATCTGATTGTTTGGTTAAGGGGTGGATACAAATAGATAGGCCTGCTTATAAGTTGCCCATTTGTTACATATGTGGTGTGTTGCAGAACGTTATCACTCTCTGTTTTTATTGGATTCAAAAACATAATTTTCCATATTTGTGGGGTTGTGTTTGTTTATAGGTCTTTATGGTCTGCTTTGAACAGTTCTATGTTTTGAGCATTTATAAGAAGCATGTTATGAGCCCTTGATCAGGAAAAAAAAACTCTTGCTTCTGATTGTAGATGCCAAGAGATTAATTGGCAGGAGATTCAAGGATGTCTCTGTTCAAGATGACATGAAGCTCTGGCCATTTACTGTTACCTCTGGCCCTGGTGGACAACCGATGATCGAGGTATCTTATAAAGGTGAGAAGAAGCAATTTGCTGCCGAAGAAATCTCTTCTATGGTTCTTTCCAAGATGAAAGAGACTGCTGAGTCCTACCTTGGTGCAGCAGTGAAAAAGGCAGTTGTGACAGTTCCTGCCTACTTCAATGATGCACAACGACAGGCAACTAAAGATGCCGGCGTCATTGCTGGACTCAATGTAATGCGTATTATCAATGAGCCTACAGCTGCTGCCATTGCTTATGCTCTCGATGAAAAATCCAGCAACACGGGCGAGAAGAATGTTCTTATTTTTGATCTTGGAGGTGGTACCTTTGATGTCTCTATCCTCACCATCGAAGAGGGTATTTTTGAGGTCAAAGCTACTGCTGGAGATACTCATCTTGGAGGAGAGGACTTTGATAATAGAATGGTTAGCCACTTTGTTCAAGAGTTTAAAAGAAAGCACAAGAAGGACATTAGCGGTAATGCAAAGGCTCTTAGGAGGTTGAGGACAGCTTGTGAGCGGGCGAAGAGGGGCCTTTCTTCCTCCACTCAGATTAAAGTTGAAGTTGATTCCTTGTTTGAGGGAATTGACTTTTACTCAAGCATTACTCAAGCCAAATTTGAGGAGATGAACTTGGATTTGTTCAAGAGATGCATGGAGATAGTTGAAATTTGTTTGACTGATGCCAAGATGGAAAAGAGTGCGCTTCATGAGGTTGTTCTTGTCGGTGGTTCCAGTAGGATTCCAAAGGTTCAGAAATTGTTGCAGCAATTACTGAATGGAAAGGAGCTTTGCAAAAGAATTAATCCTGATGAAGCCGTTGCTTATGGTGCAGCTGTTCAAGCAGCAATATTGGCAGGCACTATGGTTCAGGAAGTTGTACTGGTAGATGTGACCCCATTATCTCTGGGAATAGAAACTATAGGAGAAGTGTTTAACATTGTTGTTCCAAGGAACACCACCATCCCTACCCGGAAGGAGAAAATATTCACCACTGTTAAAGATAATCAAACTTCTGTTTTGTTTAAGGTGTACGAGGGTGAAAGAACAAAGTCAACCGACAACAATTTGTTGGGAAAATTTGTGCTCTCTGACATCCTTATTGCCCCAGTGGGAGTTCCTCAGTTAAATGTCTGTTTTGACATGGATGCCAATGGCATTCTACACGTCTCTGCTGAAGATATGACAACTACTTCGAAGAATCAAGTCACCATTACCAATGATAAAGGAAGATTATCAGCTGAAGAGATTGAGAACATGGTGAAGGAAGCTGAAAAATTGAATGCTGAGGAAGAGGAACATAAAAGGAAGCTTGGCGCAAAAAAGGCTCTCGAGAATTACATCATTACAACAAGAAGGAAAATCAACAATAGGCATGCTAGTTCTAATCTACCTGCAACTGAGAAAAAGAAGATGGAGGATGCAATCGAGCAGGCCATGCAGTGGTTGAATGGGGATACTCTTCATGAGGCAGACGAATATCAGGAGAAGATGGAGGACCTTGCGAAATTATGCAATCCTATACTTGTTGCCAGTACTCCTCACTTTCGCACTATGGATGGTACCCTTCCGAAGAAGCCGAAGTACGAGATAATAGATTGAAGTCAAGGTGACTCCTAGTTTTCTCTAATTTTGCTGTCTCTTTATAGTCTCTGGAAGTATGTTCTTGATGACCTGCATGTTTTGGAAGCATTTTGGTCTTTAGACTAAATCGGATTGATAACTTAGTAGATGGTCATCTGAACTTGTAGGTTTTTGTTAGCTGAAATATAGCATCAACATTATGGTTATCAAAATTTTGAAGTAGAATCTCCCCCAATTTGCACAGCCTGATTTTCTTTTGCTCATTTTGCTCTCGTTTAAAAGTTGGGCAGAGTCTAAATGCAGTTTCCTAGTTGTTCTCGAACATTAGATACATGCTCAGATAGATAGATATCAGAATGCATAGATGGTTATATAATGTCGTACAAATTATTATCCAAATAAATTTTGTAGTTTCTGTAACTACAAGAATTTTAAGTTACCTTTAAAATCTAGTGATGTGCTATCACTTGTCATTTGCACTTCCATAAGTACTCCTTTCCGAAGTGGACTATTTTCTTGAGACAGATGGAGTATATTATGTTGTAAGGGGAATGATAAGAAGAAACAATTTATACAATAAAATCGGTAAAACAGGTTACAGCACAGGTTACAAAAGCATCTTTTAATGTGTTTCACAGGTTAATAATTTTTTCTGAGATTGAGAATGAGAGTGTCAAAGTGATGGGAGTTTTCAGTTTTAGAGAACTACCATAATGTAAGTCTTCAGATTGTTGAGCACTAAGGGATACCTCTTTGTTAGATGGAAAATTTTGACTCTGATAACACCACATATTAATGTTAAACTCTTTAGATCTGAATGTTTCAATCCCTCCAAAACATACATCACCCCCTTCAACAATTTAGCCATCGCCTGCCAAGTTATTCAAATTTCCCAACTGCTCATGCAAAAACAGAATTGAGAATAACAACCGGTACTTCATGTCTTAATTGATTTTGAATACAGTACAAATGAAGCACAAAAAAGATTCTATGACTAATTGACTATTGCTTCGCAGGAATCATTTGTTACCATTTACCAATGTACTGCTTATGTAGTTTCAGAACTTCAGTGATTACTGTTCGAGTCGTCATACGAGTCACCTTAAGTCTATGTAATAAACAATTAAATATTGAGCAATTAAAACCCAAACTTTTGAAGAAGTCCACTATTAATCGTGGTTACAAAGGTTGAAAAAGATTGAGATGAACAAATTACTTACTTGATTTCGATGTATGACATACAAACCCGAATATCCGATACAAAAAGAATTAAGGAAACTAAATCATACGCCATCTGTCTCAAAAATAATTTCTACTTTGTTGAATTTGTAAATCCTAACTACAAACTGACCAGTAGTAGTACACGACCCTTCACCAGAAGATAGCTGTTCTTGAAATATAGTAGATCTCCGTTTCATCTGAGAAATTTCTATTTGGACCTTTTCTGATGCCTTTGTTTTGCTACTTTGTACAGAGCAAACCATACAACCATAAGAAATGGCATACCTGCAATGTGAGTTCATGCCATTAATGAACTGCATATAATTTGTGCTCATCCCATCACACTCAAATTAAAACCAATAATCATTATGGTTCGATTTACATCTAGTACTTAACTTTGATTGACAACATTGACCATGAACTCTGCACTCAGTTGTTAGCTACCCATTTGTTTATTTCGAATCAGATCATAAGCAAAAAGGACAGCTTCAACATTTCATCAGCTAGTTTCAAAGCTAGCTGCCTAGCTTGCTGGAATGTAGAATGATGATAAGTGATAACTTACCAATAATGGTCACAGCCAAATTTTTCCTGAGGCTACTTCCTGGTAAATGATGATATGCTACCAAAAAACAAAGACACAAAAATGGGTTAAAAAAAAGGGCACAGTTAGGCGAAGATCTTATAAATTCTCTGTTTTAAACAAAATAAATGAACCAGCAAGTGATTAATTTGATGTCAAACGCTTGCTACTGAATCGAAGCCTCACCATAATTGCAGGCGCCATCTAAATATGGGTTGAATTCATACACCATGGTTCCAGGTGGAGCTGTATTTTCGCATTTACACGTATAGCTAACTATGTATTTAGTTTGATTTACTTGAAGATATCTTTCTTTGGGAATGCAACCTGGGATGGAAGAAATGTCAGATGGATTTGTAATTGTCCAGACCAGAACAACAGGAACAAATGTGAATGACTCTGGAACTCTCTCAGCAAGTAAGAATTTTCGATCAGCCAAAAAGGCGCTGGGAGCGCACGAATCCTGGTTGGATTCTGTCACTATGGACTTCAATTCATAGGAAGTGAGGTAAAAAGGGATATTCGTCTCGCAACATTTAACGCCATAGCAACCGCCTGTTGTTACAGTACAATTGATGTGACACATGGAAGTGCACGCTGACAACACGCGGTTGTCGTGTTTTGGACTGAGAAGAAGAACATTTCCACTGCCTGAAAACATCAGTGTGTTGTGTTTCCGGGAGAAAAGAAAAGGAGTTCCGGCGAGGTCGGTGCTTCTCCAGCGCCCGGTAATTTGAGGAACTGGAGTGTTGATGGTTATGGTCTGATGCCACAGATTTATTTCTAGTACTTCCAGGTTGAGTTTCTTTAAGTATGGCTTTGAAAGAGAAGAATCTTCCGGGGTGGAATTAATGGAACCTGATGATCTGCAACTTATGACGAATGATTCGCTGAAAGCACAATCAGAACCAATTCCAAATGGGTATCGAATTCTTACAAAACCGCATCTTTCTTTGCATCCAGGCTTCGCCATCGGAAACATCTCTGCTGCTACTCCTGATGGATTCGGATTCATCGAGATCGCGAAAATTAGAAACAGAAATGGTAATGATCTTGAATAACTCATTTCTTTTGTTAGCTTTGGTTGGCACTAAAAGTTTTTATCACTGCCTTTCAAGAATGAGAAATCATCAAGTTCTGTTGCCTAAACTCAAAAGCTTTTAGTGAACTGGACAACTGTGCTAGTCTTTTTTTTTTTTTGGCTGCAAAAGAAGGAGGCTTCCGCCCTATGATCTAAGGATTACATTACGGAAATATGAGATCTCGACAACATCATGAAAAAGCCATAAATCTATCCCTCTTGGAGGAGTTTATAGTCGTTGCAACCCTCCCGGACTTTGGGACACCAGTAATGCTAAATAATCCGTAACAAAATTAGCATCCCGACAACTGTGCTAGTCTTATGATCAATCATACAAGTCAAGTCAGCCAATAAAAGTTGACTATTCAACCTAAAACTTTGGATGGAGGATGAAGAAAGTCTACTTTATCCTCAAATTTTTATTGAATATCTTTAGATAAAACAGCATGATTAGTATGATATATTTTTTTGAACTTACAAAACTTAACAATAAAAAATAATCACGCTTATAATAGACCAAAATTGATGTGATGTCTATTACTCCCTCCATTCAATTTTTTTATTGAATATCTTTAGATAAAGTAGCATGATAATTATGATATATTTTTTTGAACTTACAAAACTAACAATAAAAAAGGCTCACGCTTATAATAGACCAAAATCGATGTGATGTCTATTACTCCCTCCGTCTAAACAAAAAAAAAGACAATTTTGAGTTTTGAAATTTATACTAAAAACAGTATAAAAATAAAAATTCATTATGGACTATTTTTTGGAACAGAGATAGTATAAAGTAACTCTAAGAGCACACAGTCATTCTTTTTCTCACTGATGCGAACTTCTTATGTAACCATTTAGTTTACTTTTAGTTTCTCTATTCTTCTTTCTTTCTTTTTTTTTTCCCCGGGAAATTGTATGCTTTTAGTTTCTCAATTTCACATACTCACATTTATTATACACTATAATTAAACATAGTATTACTTCCGTCCCATATAAATAGTCCACATTGAGTTTTCAAATTTGTACTAAAAATAGTACAAAACTCAAAACTCAATGTGGATTATTTTTATGAGACGGAGAGAGTAATACATTACAATGTGACCGTTTGGCGTTTAGCATACATTATCCACATTCAAATTTCAATGGCCATCTGCATTAGTCCCCTGCAATGGTACGACCATTATTATACTTGATCTGATAGTCAAAATTGTGGCTAAAGCCGCTGAGAAAAAAAATAGTATAATTAGAAAAGCAGTCGGTATTATAAATTATGAATTAAAAACAGTATAATTCATAATAGTATAATTTTTAATTTACAATGCGGATTTTTTTTTCCTGACAAAAAGAGTTCCTTTGATTCCCAAAAAATTTAAATAAAAAAATTGCAGTTTGTTCAACTCCTTTAGAACAGGGAAAAAAAAGCACTTTTAGTCTCTTGTGTGTTTTTTTTTTTTTTGTTGGAAACAATTTAGTCCCTTCTAAGAACCAAGGTTCCCCGTTTAATCACCAATTAATAGTACCTTTCAAAATTAGCCCCATGCAAATCAAATGTAGTCCACAATGTAAAGGATGGAAAGTTAACATGGTTTTGCGATTTTAATCACCCATTATATTTGCAAAATTTGGCGTTTTGCTCTCCAAGCTTTAGTAAATATAAGAAACCATACCATGATTTTGATAACATAGTTAAACAAAAAAAATACTTTGATCTTTGGTGATCTTTTTTTTTTTAAAAAAAAAATTTCCCACTTTTTCCTTTTATTTTTTTTCTCGTATTTTTATTATTATTTTTTTGTTGTAAAATTTGTAATAACTCTTACACAGATTTATCTTTTTGTTTTTTTTATGCTTCCCCTTTTTGGTCCCACATAAATGTTGGAAAGTATTCTAGATTTCTACTTATCACACCGTTAGATTATGTTCATTTTTCCGGATGAATTTTTATTTTATTTCAGTTTTATTCTACTAGTCAAGAAGAATGTAAATAATTAAACAAGAATTAATTAATGAGGGTTTTAGGGTTTAGAGTTGAGAGCTAGGGCAAGTTATTATCAAGTAAAAAAATTGAGCGAAAACTTAAAAATTTTGTACTATCCAAAGTGGGTATTTTATAAAACTAATTGGGGTCTGCGT